ACTTGGCTTCACTGAATCCAATTTCAAACAGGCTATTTGATGTTGTTTTCATGTGTACAAAATAATGTGCATCTCATTAAATTGTGGATAATAGGCTAGTTGTCTTTATCATGATTCAAAATAAATCATGTGTACAATGTATAGCCCACTCCCTGTTTAAATACTCTAATATATCTAATTTACCCTCAAGTCCTATGAAGTAGAACTCATCCATCAACATTCAATTCGAAGTCAACGAAATGAGCTGTATCCAAAACTTAAATCTTGTCAATTATAAAACCATTAAGCATGAGTTCAATTATAAGGCTACATTGTATGACTATAATTCTGTAGTTATTCGTCCAAGTCCATTCAAATTGCTTCTAATAATTGTTTAATTAGACAATTGTAAGACCATCATATTTTATATGCCTAGTTATTATTCCATGTCGATTTAAATTGCCTCCATAATGGGCGGTAGATGGTCTGGATGGATATCTCCATTCATCATTTCTCTGGCAAGGCTGTGACGCATGTCTTTTGGCAGACGGATCGCTCCCTGTTGACTGGCACCATTATGAGTTGAGTTGGCTCCTTCGCAGGGTGGGATGGGGCCCCGCTGGTGGCCGGGACACGGAGCCTGATTTCCAGATTTTAAATGGTACTGCTGAGACTGCTCGAGCCCTGATATGTGGTCACCTACCGCTGCCCACCACCAATCATGCTGACGCATAAATAGAGGAGCCCTGGCACAAAAATCAATCTCCTGCCATCTGCAGTTACTGAGGCCTGATTTCTCTCCACACAGCATGGAAGATCCCTGGATATATTGTAAAAGTTTTACTTAAGCCATTTGGGTTCTTTGAAGGTAGACGGATACACACCGCCGCATTAAGGTGCCTCCAACCTCTTGTGAATTACTGTTTGTCTGTAATGGATTTGACAGAGACATCAGAGAGAGAAGGGAGCTCAGATTACATTAACAAAGCCTTCCTTCAAGGACTCTCACAACCCTTCAAGCTTCTCTGCCTCGGTGTTTCTGTAAGGCTTGGACCACTGCAAGATAGTTTAGCCAAGTGGGTCTTTCAGTGCATGTGAGATATACCAGCGTTTCTTAGAAAATTTGATTCATATTTTAAAAAATCGGAAAACTTTACCAATGTTGACAAAAGAAAATACGCTAGACAAGGTAGGATCTTTATGTGTCGGTAAAATGAATTATGCGAGAAATGTCGGTGGAAACGCTTTTATGCACAAATATTGATATTATTACCATAATATCGAAGTAAACTTGGAGTCATGCGATGACATGTTGTGTGGTCCTCCCACTACGACTCGGGAAACCATGCAGTTTATTAGGCTACAGATGCAATTTATGATGAACTTCACAGGGTGGTGAAAGTGCAAGGTGATGAGGTTGATGCTCCTTTCCAATAAATATCGAGGGTCTTATTCTGGGGACATGATAATCGATGCTTGGCTGCCATTTGACAAATAATAAAATAATCTCGCTCCTTTGTCCATAATAATAATCTTATCATGTAGGCCAGGGTTTCCCAAACTTGGTCCTCGGGACCCCAAGGGGTGCACGTTTTGTTTTTTGCCCTAGCACTACACAGCTCATTCAAATAATCAACTAATCATCAAGTTTTGATCATTTGAATGTGCTGTGTAGTGTTAGGGCAAAACCCAAAACGTGCACCCCTTGGGGTCCCAAGTTCGGGAAACGCTGATGTAGGCTATAGAGTACCACAGTATGAGTCATAATACCCATAAAACCTAGCAGTCAAACAAGGAAATGGTTCCATTCATTTTTCCCATAGGAGATTTCAGAAACACTTCAAATAAGGGCTGTGTTTCGTGTAGGCTTATCCTGGCGTGCTGTTTTGATAACAGTGTAAATCTCTCTAGGATAAGGTTACTTTTATCAATATATTCACCTGTATTTACCCCCCAAAAATGAAATTCTAATTAGCTGCTAATGTGGCTATCAAAAGAACTACAAATGTCATGATGAACTGGACAAGACTGCCGAACCGAGGCAAAGGTAAGAATCTCTGGATTAACTTTCTAATGTTAGCTAAATTTATAAATGAATAAATTAGCAAAATATATTTCCTGCTGAAAGGTTAATTTATCTCCCAGTGTCTGTTAGAAAGAAGACTGAACTAGGTTTCCTCTAGGATTTTGCCTGTGCTTATAGTTGTATTCCGTTTCTTTTTACCCTATAAAACTCCCTAGTCCTTGCCGATGACAAGCATACCCATAACATGATGCAGCCACCACCATACTTGAGAATATGAAGAGTGGTGCTTAGTGATGTGTTGGATTTGAGTGGTTTCTCTGAGCGGTTTCCTTCCTCTCCGGCAACTGAGTTAGGAAGGACGCCTGTATCTGAGTAGTGACTGTGTGTATTGATACAAAGTGTAATTAATAACTTCACCATGCTCAAAGGGATATTCAATGGCAGTTTTAAAAATTTATTTTACCCATCTACCAGTTCTTTGCAAAGCATTGGAAAACCTCCCTGGTCTTTGGGGTTGAAATTCACTGCTCTACTGAGGGACCTTACAGATAATTGTGCTGTTTGAAACCGGGTGGTGAAGCGGTCTAAGGCACTGCATCTCAGTGCTTGAGGCGTCACTACAGATACTCTGGTTCAATTCCAGATTGTATCACAACCGGCCGTGATTGGGAGTCTCTTAGGGCGGCGCACAATTGGCCTGGGTTTGGCTGGGGTAGGCCGTCATTGTAAATAAGAATTTGTTCTTAACTGACTTGCCTAGTTAAATAAATAAAAGAATGTGTGGGGTACAGAGATGAGGTAGTCATTCAAAAATCTTGTTGCACAGAGTGAGTCCATGTGAAAATTCATACTCCTTAACTTATTTAGGCTTGCCATAACGAAGGGGTTGAATACTTATTGACTCAAGAAATTTCAACTTTTCATTTTCTATTAATTTGTAAAATATTCTAAAAACATAATACCACTTTGACATTATAGGGTGTGTAGGCCAGTGACACAATCTCAATTTAATCCATTTTAAATTCAGGCTGTAACAAAACAAAATGTGGAAAAGGTAAAGGGGTGTGAATACTTTCTGAATGCAGTTTAAGTGATGACTAATCCCTAGAGGTACCGCTATTAAAATGTGTTCTGACCTTAATGGGACTTCCTGGATAAATAAAGGTTAAATAAAAAAATACAAATAAAGGATTCTGACAACCACATTAATCTTTAGACCTCTCCCTTGTGGAAGGAGTTGTCCTTAAATTAAACCATGATTATGATCAATTTCTGAAGATGGACATTAATATGGACCTGACCAAGCGAAAGGGTCTGTGGTTTGGAAAGAAAATGACATATCCCAAACAAATCAATACAATAAAGTCCTGGGAGGAAAGAAGCATAAAGTAGCGTTTCTAAACATTTTATGGGTCAGTGGTCGTTCTGGACAGGTCAATACCTCAGTCCGCTAGATGTTTTATGACTCTGCAGTCATTTGTGGAAGAAACATATATACGGGACAGTTGAGCTAACGTGCGCTAATGTGATTAGCATGACTGTTGTAAGTAACAGCAAACTTTCCAGGACATAGACATGTCTTATATGGGCAGAAAGCTTACATTCTTGTCAATCTAACTGCACTGTCCAATTTACAGTAGCTATTACAGTGAAAAAATACCATGCTATTGTTTGAGGAGAGTGCACAACAAAAAAAACGTATCACGGCAACTGGTTTGATAGTCACCTCTGAAGGTAAATAATGTACTTACATTCAGTAATCTTGCTCTGATTTGTCATCCTAAGGGTCCCAGAGATCAAATGTAGCATAGTTTTCTTTGATAAAATCCATTTTTATATTCAAATGTAGGAACTAGGTTCTACAGTTTGAACCCCTGCTGTCTCTGGCTCCACACCCACACCGCCCGGCCATCTAGATGTGTGAAAGTTAGTGTATAAGCTAATGATCCATCATGACATTCCTGGGAGTGTGTAAACTTACAAAAATGATATGGTAATACAGGGGCGGTATGTTCTCTATAGTTATGTACTTGAAAATGTATCAATTGACCAATTCGGCACATTTGGGCAGACTTTATACAAAATAGTCCAGTATTGCAATGCTTCACTGGATCAATATTTTACCAGATCTAATGTGTTATATTCTCCTACATTAATTTCACATTTCCACAAACGTCAGTGTTTCCTTTCAAATGGTATCAAGAATATGCATATCCTTGCTTCAGGTCCTGAGCTACAGGCAGTTAGATTTGGGTATGTCATGTTAGGCGAAAATGGAAAAAAAGGGTCCGATCCTTAAGAGGTTAACAGACGGAAAGGTAGAGGGAGTGACTAGAAGACCGACAAATATAGAGGAAAGATGGGCGAAGAGGCACAAGAGACGGGAGGGTTTGAGAAAGACCAGAGAGTGAGTACAGACAGAAAAACCTCCCCCACACATACAACCGCTTTCACAGACGCTGCATTCAGTATTTTAAAGGTAACCGTGGTCATTTTCCAACAAGTCCAACTAATCGTTTCCCATCTATTTTGAATTCTGTATACCAGTGGGGCACAGCTCTCCCCTCGCTGTGTACCACGTGGGTCGCTTCAGCCAGGCTATACAAATAAACCTGTTGTTACAGATCAATAGCGATGAACGATGTTTACGAAATAATTGGATCTAATACACGAATACTAATTTTCTCAGTGAGTAAAGTTGTATCCCCAGTAGCTCTTCCCCCTCATCCATTCGAATAATTAAAACAAGTGCACGCTATCAGTTGTCAGAGATCAGTGATTTTGTATGTGAGGTTTTGATGTGGGAGAAGCAGGAATCAGATGACACCACAAAGAGAAAAATAAATGAAACTTGTTTCCTCATCCTCACCCTCTGCTTACTGTACCGTCCCTCTTGACTTGATCTATTTCCAATTACTTTGTACAAGAATAAATAAAATCGCATAACATTGAAATTCAATGCAATCTTCCTAAAAAATACGTTAAGGAGGGGTGTGTGAAATCGGTTTATTGCGCAATTGGTAAACAAAGGTATATTGTGAGAAGACAAAATGTCCTGACCACGCTTCTGATTATCATACACATTTATTTTAAAATCAGATCTTGTGGACATTGGTTCTGAAGTGTGTGTTCTGTTTATTTCTCAGTGGATGCATTCAAAGTCAATCATCATGAGAAAGAAAGAATGAAAGAGAAAAGTACATCTTATACAAAGGAAAAAGAGGACAGTACTGTGAAGCGACTGAGTGCCACTCAACTCTACACACTCACAGCCTCTCCACTACAACATTAACACACTCAGGTTGCTCATCAAGTGTCTTCAGTTTACACAGACTACCACTGTTCACTTCCCACATGAACAGAGTCCTAGGCTGCATCCAAAACGGCACTACGGTTGACCAGAGCTCTATAGGCCCTGGTCAAACATGGTGCACTATATAGTGAATAGGGGTGCAATTTGAGACACAGTCTATTGAAGTTGACGTCTCTGTATTTTTCTTTCAGCAGGCAAGATGCAGCACTGAGTCAGAAGGAGGAGGGGGATCCTCAGATTGGAGGGGTGCTAGGTCCCCCTGGCGGAACCCCCCCGACATGGTAACTTCCTGTAAGAGAGGTCTCATGGAAATGTTCACATGTTGGTGCTCATTCGTGATTGGCTGTTGGCAGAGTTGAGTTCACCTTGGCTGCCCTCCCTGGGAGGAGACTGGAGAGAGAGGGAGGGGAAAAGGGGGAAATGGAGAGAGAAAAATAAGGTTGAGTGGTTGACATCCTCTATAAGCAAAGATGGAAGGAAACAGATCTTAATTATCATCCTGCATTCGTAAGAACATACAGTATATGTATCAAAAGGAAAATGTACAAAGCATACAGTATAAAAAGTGTTGAGTTTGCAACTAGTCTCTGGTACTGTAAGATCATGGCATAGACTGGGGAGAGAGGGACACACGACATATATTCTTCCTCTGAATCTAAGGTCTTATTTCAGATCCCATGATGTGTGGAAATGAGCAGTGGCTGAGAGGAACAGAGATGAGGAGGAGAGGGGGAGGACGGGCCTGGAGAGAGGACGGGTGGACCAGAGGTCAACGAGAGAGAGAATGAAAGGAAGACAAAGTGGATATGGGTAAAGGGAAAGAGAGAGACAGAAATAAGAGATGATTAGATGGCGGCACTGATTGAAGGCTGATTGAGGCATGGATGTCAAAAGAAAGAAATAGCATTTCTGAGAGATGTCCATATCCTAGAGGGAAAAGGCAAAAAATCGAGATAGATGAGTAAAGAGAAAGCAGCCAGAAAACCCCTGGGAGACCCCGTGCGCAGTGGTACCTTGACATGTATCTGGTTGCGCAGCACGGCAGCTCGTAGGATCATGGCTTTGGCTCGCCTCTGGAACTCCTTGCCCATGTGGATAGACTTCTCAAACGTGTGGCTCCGCTGGTCCACGTCCCGCGCATACAGGATCTGAGATGAGAGATAGTATTTCATAGTCTGTTTGTACATAAATGTGCTTGGCATCTCAACGAGAGAAGGGAGGAGAGAGACAGGCTGAGGATAAGAGCGCTGTGGCAAACCATTTGGGTCACTGTCAAATCAACATTCCGTGCTGCATTATAAGATTATAACGAGTGATCTGAGCTCATCTAGTGTGTGTGTGTGTGCGCGAGCGAGTGAGAGAGATGGGGTGGGGTTTATATGTGACTTGACTCTTGAGTGTGGGTGTGTTACCTTGCTGTGGGAGTCTATGCGTGCGTTGATAAGTCCCTCCAGTATGAGCTGGGTGAGTTCGTCCTCCAGAGCTAACACTGTGGTGTTGAAGGCCTGGGCCATCTTAGTCATGTCTGCAGACACGTACGGGCTGAAGTACTGCAACACATATACACGTTAACATCTTAGTCATACATCTGAATGAAAAGTAGAGATTGAGGTAGTGCACACACATGCATGCCCTTAGCCCACACCACACAAAAGAAAAACACAACAGTGTACATTACAGCAGACCTTGCTGCAAAACACACACACTAATACTGGCCTTGGGAGCCGGGGAGAGAAAACCTGCTCTGAATTACATTTTAGTCATTTAGCAGACGCTCTTATCCAGAGCGACTTACAGTTAGTGAGTGCATACATTTTCATACTGGTCCCCCGTGGGAATCGAACCCACAACCCTGGCGTTGCAAACGCCATGCTCTACCAACTGAGCTACACGGGACTGAATGTTCATGATCCCCAAACCAAACTATTTTAATTATATATTTATTAATTTACAACCTAAATAACATTACACCAGCGTAACTCACACCCTCCAACAAGCATCCCACTGCACTAAAAGAGAAAAAGGACACCAAGAGGTCAAGCAGAAGAACAATGTCTAATATTAGGGCATAAGATTAAATAACATTAGCAGAACAACCATTTTAGGTGCCATACTTCACCTGCTAGTCCAGTTAACCCTGGTTGCGTCCCAAACAGGGCTACGGTCAGAAGTAGTGCACTATAGAGGGAATAGGGTTCCATCCCCTGTAGAGGTTTGACCCAGGGTCATTCAGACACATTTCCTCAGATTCCTCAGCTAAATGTAGTATTGATTGCTGCCTGAGCTAGAAGAGCGACAGTAGATTTCCATCCAATTAGCGACAGATTTTAATGTGAATATTCTAGAATACGCATACTTTGATATGGTGGTTATTATATCAATATTTGTGCAGAGGCGTTTCCACCCCCATTTCTCGCATAATTAATTTTACCGACACAAAAAGATCCCACCATGTCGAACGAACAAATTGTACCGAAACTGTCGCAATTTTTTTTGGAACGGTATGATGACTTTACTCGCATAAAAACTGTGGATGGTAACATGGTTAGTGAGAGAAAAGTTTTGTATCCGATTCTTTCCCCCAGACGCATCGATAGCCTATTTATTTTTTTACGTCAATGGGGGAGCCCTTAATTGACTAATCAAACCCATCCGTAGTTGTGAGTGTATAAGGAAAACAACAGAATACTTTGGATGTCCAGGGTGATGTTCAGTATTATATGGGAGTACTGGAGGAAAAGTGTTCCTGTCCCCCAGTCCCACCTGTCCTGTCAGTCCCACCGGTCCTTTCCTGTCCGTCTCACCTGTATAAGGGCTCTGTTCCTGATCAGTGTGTAGAGGGTCCGTACGTGGGGGGCCAGGTACATGTCTAACAGCAGGTTATCCTGAGAAATAAGAGAAGCAGTCTGCATTTAGGACAGGTTTCAAATATATTTTATCAACATAATGAAAATACATCATAGCTTTCAACGTAGGAAGTCATGTTACTTGGTTCTTACTTTGTTTAATTCCCGTTTTCAAGTTTTTTTGCTACCCATTTTGTGTTTTTCACATCAATGCAATCATTAGTATCGATTGATAATCATAGATAATTAATTAATTAGATCAATCTCACCTTGATCTCGTCCAGCATTTTGAGACAGGAAGCGTACTTTGACTCATAGAACTTAAAGATGATGTCACGGACCTGAGGTTCCAACTCTAAGAATAACTTAAACGAGCTGGGAGGACATAAAATACATGATTCAAAGATGGTGGATGGTAACACAGCTCGTTAGTTACATGAACACACACACCATTTATACAGCAGATACACAGGCATTTGCACACACACACACACACCTGCTTGAGATTATATTCTTCTGTAGCTCCTGTCTGTCGAAGGTGGCGAGGGCACACATCCCTCCGTACACAGCTACATTACTGGGGGACAGGAGCTGGACACATACACACAATAGAGGTTTGTACATCCAACAGAAAAACAAATTATGAGCATTTATCAAGTAGCAATTGTCTTTACAATTGTCCAATTACCCTTGTCCTAGTTGTTGTTGCCTTCCCCATTGTTGATAAACAATAACAAATTATCACAGAACAACACAGGGAAGTCACAGACTTCACCTTTAAAGTACTACACAGACAGGCAGGCAGACACACTAACCTCAGCGAAGTCACAGTGGTCGAAGGAGGCCAGCAGGAAGCACTTGGCTGCTTGTTTGTACTTTCTGGAGGCCAGCTCAGCTAGCCCTGGGTGACAGAGACAGATATACAGATGTGGAGGAGAAACAAGGAGAAAGAACGAGAGGTCAAATGAACCTGAGTGTGGGAAGATAACTTTGTAATCTAGTCAAAGCAGAGGGGGGTTTAAAACGAATCAATTTTAATTGAAACAAAACATTAGCATGAGTGTCTGCATCTGTTGTTAGTGAGTTTTATACCCTCTAGATAGCAACAGGTGAAAACACTTACAGTATGTACATCTCTTTGTAGAACAACAAAGATAGTGAGTGAATTACCTGCAGCACATTTTAATTTGGTGAGGACTGACTGACTCTGGCAATCTCTCTCCCCTCTTTGCTGAAACAAAAATAAAGATATTCCCTCAGTAATGAAGAACCCGTCTGTGTTTTTTTTAGAAGACAGTAGAGCACTTATGTTCTCGCTCTCAGAGGAACCCATGACTTACCTCTGCTATCTCTGGAGTGGATTCAGCTTTGCTCACATAACTAAGGACGTGGGACCAGTTCTGGAGGTAGACGCTAACCTAATAGATGAAAACACACTAAATTCCTTAAGAAACTCTATAGGACACAAATGTCAAGACTGCCCTCTAGTGCTAGTCACTGGAGTTAATCAGATCACAGAGAAAGCAAGAGGCTGAGAGCGAGTGAGGCAGAGAGAGAGAACGAGAGAGGAATATAACCCTTCTGCCCTCCAGACTTTACATCAGGATTAAGTGCATTGACCAAAAAGCTAGGACCACTAACTATCATTATGATTAATGATGACATACCTTGATGACATTAAGACACATGTTTATGACATGCTTGGCGCTAGTGCAGTAGTCTCGGGCTCGGGAGTAGCACTTAAGGGCGTTGCTGAGGTCACCGCAGTCCAAGTAGTGGTCCCCAAGGTCATCATGACCCCTCCTGAGGTGAAATAAACATTAGTGAGAGGGTTCGGCCCAGTACCACAGAGGTCGAGAAAGGAAAATTCAGATCCCCCCCTTTGGCCTGAACAAAGCACTACGCAGAATCACTGATCTACAAATGAATGTTCCATTCCAAATGACCTTACATTAAAAACTACTACTACTAGTCAACTACTCAGTGATTACTTCTAAGTGATCAAGATTTGCAAATAGATGCAGCACTCTCAGAGGTGAGGTTTACCCAATCGGTTTATTATCTACTTGATGCTAACAACTGTAGTTTCTCCCACCCACCTGATGCTCTCTTTGATGGAGTTGCCTTTGTAGTTCTTCAGGTCAGTGTCCAATTTCTCCAGTTTGAGCAGGGCCTTTTTCCTGGTCGACTCGGCCCATGCTGTGTCCAGAGGAGGGGGGTCCACTGCCCCGCCCTCCACCACAGCATCTGGAGCCCCCTGGACCTCTCTGAACACAAACACAGAACTCAAATCAATCAAACACTCAACGAAAATGACAAAAAGCACTTTCCAAAACAATTAAAAATTACATACTACGTTCTAGTAGTAACCACTCCACTTTGCTGTACCTTCTCTGTGCTATGCTGGTATGTACTAGGCTAAGCTAGGGCTGTGCTACACCTACCTGGTGGCCTCTGTGAGTTTGCGGTGGATTTCCTCATACACGTCTACGTTGAAGGTCCTGTGGACGAAAGACAGGGCCATTTTCAGGGCCTCTGCGCGGAGCTGGGGACAGTGCTCTGCTATGAACTGCAGCCTCTCAATACGCATCAGACCACTGTAGCTGGACGCATACTGCTCCAGGTCCTAGAGAGAGACAAAGACACACACACACTTCAGTGGGACAATAGCCTAAAATGTTGATTTTTCACTAAATAGTCTGCATTTGTATTTATTAGGGATCCCCATTAGCTGCTGCAAAGGCAGCAGCTACTCTTCCTGGGGTCCAAACACATTATGGCACTTACATTACACATAAAACGAATTACACCACTACATATCTACAATACAAAATGTATAATACCACCATACGTTATTTCAATGTATGTGTGTCTAGAGTGCTCGCGTTTGTGTGCGTATGTGTGTCTGTACCTGTGTGTGTGTGTCTCTTCACAGTCCCTGCTGTTCCATAAGGTGTATTTGTATCTGTTTTTTAAATCTGATTCTACTGCTTGCATCAGTTACCTGATGTGGAATAGTTCCATGTAGTCATGGCTCTATGTAGTACTGTGCACCTCCCATAGTCTGTTCTGCACTTGGGTGTTGTGAAGACACCTCTGGTGGCATGTCTTGTGGGGTATACCCCTTCTATAGATTCATTTGGTTTCAGTTTAACATTTAAATATCAGTAGTGGTATTTGAGTCCCGTCTACATGAAACAAGACCCGCCTTTCCAATGATAGTGGGGGAAAATCCTGGATAGATAGACCATACCAGCGTTGGGTTTTCCACCACATAGTTGACATCTGGTGCATTCTGCTGGTCCTCCTGTGGGTCAGCATCTATCTGCATGGGCTCAACAACCCCCTGAAGAAGAGAGAACATACAGGTAACTGCCAAAATAAAAGAAACACCAACATAAAGTGTCTTAATAGGGTGTTGGGCCACCACGAGCTGCCAGAACAGCTTCAATATGCATTGGCATAGATGCTACAAGTGTCTGGAACTCTATCGGAGGGATGCGACACCATCTTTCCACAAAAAATTCCAGCATTTGTTGTTTTGTTGATGGTCGTGGAAAACTGTCTCAGGCGCCGCTCCAGAACCTCCCAAAAGTGTTCAATTGAGTTGAGATCAGGTGACTGACACACACACACACACACACACACACACACACACACACACACACACACACACCCCCTTTAAACCACCTTTGCTCCTTTGAGACCCCTCTTTCAAAGTCACTGAGAATCTCTTCTTCTAGCGATGGTAGCCAAAATAACGGCCAACTGGGCATTTTTATACATGACCCTTAACATGATGGTATGTTAATTGATTAATTAACTCAGGAACCACACCTGTGGATGCACCTGTTTTCAATATACTTTGTATCCCTCATTTTATCAAGTGTTATCTTTATTTTGGCAGTTCCCTGTACATACTGTAGATAAGTGTCATTTAACAGCGTGGCACAATCAATGGAGAATACTGACTGTCTACAACCAGGTTAACAAGGTAATGAATAGCCATACATACACTACACTCCCACAATGGACAGATCGCTCATGTCATACTGGATATTTACATTGGAGACACAATGTATATGTGTTGCTTAGCACAATTTAAAAAGGGATGGGTAAACTACTACTAGCTGGATAACAAGTCAGCCAACTAGTTAGCTAGCTACAATAACAGAAAACTAACTAGCTAACATGACTGTCAAAGTGCCTGAAGAAACCATAAATGACCAACAGCAAACCATTTCCTGGGGTGCAACAGCACCTTTCTAAAAAAAATTTGTCATTCTAACATCTAGCTAGTTGGTATAGAATAACAGTGAATGGAAATATAACGTTGTAGAGTTAGCTATATGAACTTGCTAAAGTTAGCCTAGCTAGTTAGCTTGCCAGGACTGCTAACGGCCCAAGCTACTCGATTTATGCAAGGAGGCTTTCGTGCTTATCGGAGTACCCACGCTCCCAGTTAAGCGCGAGGACACCGGTTTTGTGTAAACATGCATCAAAATCGATGAATAATGACCTGAAAGTTGAATACTTGCACGGGTAAAGGCATCTTTCCCCGTTTGACGTTCTGCAGCAGAGAGGAAGAAGCGAAGCGAGAGGAATAACTGGCACCAAAATCTGTCTTCTCCAGCAGGTGGCGTTCTTCCCGCTGATCCAAGGGAGGAGTTGTTGTATGGAGATCAATGAGTGTCGAATTTGGTTAACAAAAAATGAATGGCTTACTTTCTACGTGAGGCTTATTTGATCGAATAGAAGTTTCGTAATGTGTAGGTTGTTACGAGTGTACTGATATAAGTAGGACGCGTGACATCTTCGCAACTTTGAGAAAAAAACACTTTATATCGGAGTTGTGCCTGTTATCACTCTCGTATCTGCCCTCTCATTGGCTAGAATGGTCCCACCTGATCTTGCCTCCTCCCGACTGCCTTCCATTTCTGAAGACATTTATTTTAATTGCTAGAGCAGCCAATTGAGTAACTGGTCAACATGGTCGCGTGTGGCTCAGTTGGTAGAGCATGGTGCTTGCAACGCCAGGGTTGTGGGTTTGATTGCCATGGGGGATGAGGATAATTTACAAAAATGTATCCACTCAGTAATGTAAATCGCTCTAGATAAGAGCGTCTGTTAAATGACTAAAATGTAATATGATGGGTAATCTGTGTCTACAGCAACAAACAACGGCACGCTATCACATCCGGGGCATGGGTTTATAGGGCTCTTTACGTAATGACGTCAGCGCTGCTCCAGATGTGTCCGAGGCAGTGTTATTACCGCATTCAAAACAACTGGGAACGTTGGTGATCTTCAGGTTGGAAAGTCGGAGCTCTAGATAGTGACCCGAGTTGAATGACCGTTCAAATCGATTTTTACCAGTGGGAGATTGTTTTTTTCCGAGTTCCCAGTTGCTTTGAACGCACTAAAGTCGTCGGAGATTTCCGAGTTCCCAGTTGTTTTGAACGCGGCATATTTTCGATCAACAACAACAAAAAACTGTTGCAAACTGATGGTAATTTGTATTAAGATACAACTAGTTCAGAAAGTAAAAATGAATTACTCAAATTGTAAATGATAACAATTTATTTGAGGTCCCCCTTGAGATGAATAAGTGTTTTTAACTTTGTCACACGAGTTGGCTTAGCCTACTGGAGGGATGTTGCCGCGAGTTGTTTTGTCTGACAACTTTTTCATTGTCAGCACAAAATAGACTACGAGAGCCTACGACATCTAGAGCGAAAATAGCAACACATTGGCGACCCCAACAGCTGTAGCCTACTACGCTACAGGGACATTTAACTTGCAAGGCCAGGTCAGCATCAGCCAGAGGGCGCTCAGTTTCAGAGGATTTGCTTTTGGAGAGAGAATCACGCAGTATGTGATTTGAGAGGAATCCGAGAAACAGAGGTCGTTTATAATCGCAATGGAATCAAATTATGTTGTTTGAGTCACTTGCACTTGACTGGCTGAGTGCACAGCTAGGCTACTTAATCGCGGTCTAACAGAGAAAGCGGGCTGCTGATGGTTAAAGTTTGAGCCCAATCAAATCATAGTCCAGACGAGGAGACAAAAAAGAGAAGATCGTTGAAGAGGATAAAAGCGTCTGGAAACCCTGTATTGTATTGTATTTTCTTTGAACAGATTCTGTTCACTTAATTCATTTTTGGTGAACAGTTCCCTGGTGTTTTTGTTGCAGTTGGGAGGAGGCACATCGGAGAAAAAACGTGATTTATTTTGTTTCCATGTAAGTATTAGGCTATTTTCGTCATCACAGAATAAGTGTTTTAAGTAATTCGGCATAATCAGGGTTTTTCATAGAATGTAATAAAAAATAATTGACTAGACCACACTCTCGCCTCTCCTTTGTTTACCGTAGGACAGCCTATAGACCCCCATGTGCACGACATGCACAAGAAACAACTCCTAAACAACCCTTTAAACTTTAAAGTTACCTTTTTAAGACCGAATAATATTGGTTAATCGCGTTGTTGTTGTTTTCATAAATTTGTCGTGAACTCTACAGTTGAATGACCGAGCCCACAGCAGTCAGACCTGTTTCTATTGGCAGTGACCCAATCTGGTAGATTTGCATCTGCCAGATTTTTACATTTGCATAATCCCTAACCAGGCACAAAAATATTTAATTTTATGCATTCGTTTTATTTATTTATTTCCCCCTGTAAATGATGTATAACTCCTTCATAAACCATACTCTCCTTCATGCTATATCCACATATCTATGTGCTGAGAGCTCATATTTTACTAAGGAGGCTAATTTTAGTAAAGAAAAAAGGGTTTGATTACATCCCTCTGCTTCCTACAACTGACATCTGTTACTGGTTGAGGTATCATTGCCTCTGAAAATAGCAGCAAACAGGAAATTGCTCACACACTGAAGGTAAGTCTGGCAATTAAATGTGACCTGTATTAACTGACTGGCAAATGGCAGTGCATGAGTGACGATGTGCCAAGAGGAGATTGTCTTTGCCAATTCAGGAAAAGTTAGTGGTCAGACTGAGAAGAAATAGCGTCTGCCATTTGAGAGGGACTCAATCAGAATGTGTATAGAGTTGTACAGTGAAATCGTGGCCCTTTTATGCAGAAACAGACTGGTCTGTCTAGCACCCAGGCTAGAGTAAACCCAGTGCAGGAGCCAGTATCCATATACTCAGCTAGAGTATGTTCTCAAGTTTGTCACTGTCATCTTATTATGGGGGTGGTGGTGATGATGAGGAAGTCATGCGTGTCGATGTCTTTTCAGGTTCATGTGTGATGTCATAAAGATGGGACGCAGTGGAGCGGGAAGCAAAGCTGGTGCCGGCGGCTGACAGGCCCCTCCAGCGGCCAATCAGGATGCATGTCTCCTCGATGGGTGTCAGCAAGCTATGCTTCCTGTTCTCCCTGGCCCTCTGTGCCCTCCTCCTGCTCCTCATCCCCGCCCTCCAGCCCTCACAGCATCAGGGGGACCTGCCCCAGCCCCGGGCCCACACCAAGCCTGCCCGGGCGGGCACAGGCGCCGGCAAACCCTCCCAGCGCCCTGGAGGTCTGGTGGTCCCTCTCCAGGCAGATGTGGGGAAAGTGACAGTGACAGTGGGGCGTAATGCGATTGATGGTGGCTCTATGGGGCAGGGCACAACCAGAGAGACCAAGAGGACTGGGGATGGGGACTGGGTGTATACAGCTGGTCGAGGTGACACCCAGGGCACTGGGAAGCATACAGACTCTCAGACAGGGCCAAAGGAGGACTTCCTCCATAGAGCTGGGGGTGTGGCGGGGGCTGGAGGGTCTCGGTCCAGGACCCCTCTGGAGCTGAAAGACATTTTCATAGCGGTGAAGACCACCAAGAAGTACCACAAGTCCAGACTGGATCTGCTGTTCCAGACCTGGGTGTCCAAAGCCAAAGAACAGGTAGGGAGGAACACAAACGCATACACACACACACACACACACACACACACACACACACTGAAGACCGAACTTGGCAGTGGTTAAGATGCAGCCAATGGCTCTGGATGAGGGTATTTGTTAACCCCCCAAGGTTATGTTTTGTCTACAGGGTAGATCATCTCCTTTGTCTTGTACTGTTACCAAGTCCTCCAGACAGGGCATGTTTCTAAAGTACACAAGGACAGCTTCCCCTCTCTCTGTTCTCCAAGCAGCTGTAGTAACAGTAAAGAGTGAACATCATTTCTAGCACCATGGGCTGCATGTCACTGAACTACACTGCAGGTCCATTTCTCTGAAGACTTTACTGTACTCCTTCAACAAGGTTTTGATTATCATATAGAACATGGATGTGAAGGAAATGTGCTGCTATGGCGAATTATGGTCTAAGATTCTATCCCAGTGAACACACGATTTTGAAAATATGTGTTTTCAACATCTTTCCAATGTCTTCATGTGCTCATAGGGCTGGTTTTAGCCATAGGGTGGCAGGTAGCCTAGCGGTTAGAGCGTTGGGCCAGTAACCGACAGGTCGCTGGTTCGAATACCCCAGCCGACAAGGTGAAAAATCTGTCGACGTGCCCTTGAGCAAGGCACAGCCTATCCCTTCAATCACACAGCCTATCCCTACTATGGCTGACCCTTTAAAACAACACATTTCACTGCACCTATCTAATTCAAAAATATATATTTTTTGCCAACACTGCAGATTCATGCCCCCATGCTGGCCCACATATGGGTTTCCTACTGCTATTACAAAAGTAGGGATATCTGGGACAGTGTAGATACCCAGTCCACTCCCTGTCAGCACAGCGCTCAAGCACTTGGAACTCGTCTCAGAAAAACATCTCAACCATTAAATAAACAACTTCTCCCCCCTTGGCAAGAGTATCAGCTCCTGTGGTTCAGAATGACGAGAAGTGCTTCAAGAGCATAAAGGCCATTTGGAATCAATTGACTCCTTGGATCGGGTTCTATAACGATTTTAACAAACCACATGCGTAACTCATCTTGAATTGACGCCAAGCCATCTTATTGGCTCTTACGCCAGTCTCTGTTGGTCTTGTGGTTGTTTGGTGTGTTATTGTTCCCTTACCTGCATGGTTAGAATCCTCCACTAAAGCAATGGGAGATTATAACTGTTGATGTTCAGTGGAGCCATAAAGTAAAACTGAAACAGATTCTCTGAGAAGAGAAGTCCATGTCTTCTCCACCCCTCATAACCTCAGCCACTATGGGCCCAATCCCCAATCCTAACATATTGTCCCATCAATACATGATTAATGCTTAAGTTTGCGTTACCTGTATCTCAAGTTGGGATTCAGTGATCTGTATATACAGGACCATAGTGAGACACAGACGCTGGAGTAGAGAGTAGTAGTGTGCTTAAGGAGAGAACAGATGTACAGAAGGAGAGAACAGATGTTCTACACAGTGTCTTGCTGGCCGTAGTGTGTGTGTGTGTGTGTGGACCCATTGTGGCCAGGGGACATGAAAAGGTTAAGCACATGACGGCTTGTGTGTGCAGGAAGGGTGGAAAGGCATGGCAGCTTCTGGTTGCATGCCCTGTGTGTACCTCAGTATGTGCAGCGTGGGGAAGCGTGCGCTCGTGTGTGTGGTGGTAGATCCTGGGCCCCCAGAGGGAAGAAGTTCCTGAGCAACCAGAGACTAGAGGAGAGCAGGAGACGTGTGCAGGAGGAACACACTGCTGTGCTTGCTCTCTCTCTCTGTGCAGGAATTTCTGCCCACTACCCCCCCCCCCCCCTTTAGAAGGCTGGAGGGCAGGGGGAATCTGTGGGAGCAAGGTTGGGTGAACTGGGAAGAAAGGGGGTGGGTGGGGGGGCAGAGATTCCAGAGAGAGAGCAAACACAGCAGTGTGTTCCTCCTGCACACGTCTCCTGCTCTCCTGTAGTCTCTGGTTGCTCAGGAACTTCCTCCTTCTGGGGGCCCAGGGTCTACCACTACAGGAGGAATGAGAAAGTGTTTAGGGGATAAGTCAGAGGGAGGGAGGGGAAAGGGGGGAGAATCCTCTGGTGTAATCCCTCTCCAAACACAGGGGCCTCTATGGAAGGCTGTAGAATATAGATCAACAGTCCCCACCCAGGGATCTATGGGAGGCTGTAGAATATAGATCAACAGTTCCCACCCAGGGATCTATGGGAGGCTGTAGAATATAGATCAACAGTCCCCACCCAGGGATCTATGGGAGGCTGTAGAATATAGATCAACAGTCCCCACCCAGGGATCTATGGGAGGCTGTAGAATATAGATCAACAGTCCCCACCCAGGGATCTATGGGAGGCTGTAGAATATAGATCAACAGTCCCCACCCAGGGATCTATGGGAGGCTGTAGAATATAGATCAACAGTCCCCACCCAGGGATCTATGGGAGGCTGTAGAATATAGATCAACAGTCCCCACCCAGGGATCTATGGGAGGCTGTAGAATATAGATCAACAGTCCCCACCCAGGGATCTATGGGAGGCTGTAGAATATAGATCAACAGTTCCCACCCAGGGATCTATGGAAGACTGTAGAATATAGATCAACAGTCCCACCCAGGGATCTATGGAGCTGTAGAAATAATCACAGTCCCCCCCAGATTATGGAGCTGTAGATAAGATCAACAGTCCCCACCCAGGGATCTATGGGAGGCTGTAGAATATAGATCAACAGTTCCCACCCAGGGATCTATGGAAGACTGTAGAATATAGATCAACAGTCCCCACCCAGGGATCTATGGGAGGCTGTAGAATATAGATCAACAGTCCCCACCCAGGGATCTATGGGAGGCTGTAGAATATAGATCAACAGTCCCACCCAGGGCATCTATGGAAGCTGTAGAATATAGATCAACAGTTCCCACCCAGGGATCTATGGAAGGCTGTAGAATATAGATCAACAGTCCCCACCCAGGGATCTATGGGAGGCTGTAGAACAGGGCTGGGCAACTCCAGTCCTTGGGGTCCTGATTAGTGTCGCACTTTTGCCCCAGCCCCAGCTAACACACCTGACTCCAATAATCAACGGGAGGCTGTAGAATATATTCTAGATCAACAGGCTAAAGAGCACAGCTGGGGAGAACTGTGTCATAGGGTAGAACCATAACCTAGTCTATTATAGAAAGATCCCCATGTGTTAAATAGTGTGTAGCGTATAATTTAAGGGATAGGCTCTGTGAGTGAAGGGATAGGCTCTGTGAGTGAAGGGATAGGTTGTGTGAGTGAAGGGATAGGTTGTGTGAGTGAAGGGATAGGTTGTGTGAGTGAAGGGATAGGTTGTGTGAGTGAAGGGATAGGTTGTGTGAGTGAAGGGATAGGTTGTGTGAGTGAAGTGATAGGTTGTGTGAGTGAAGGGATAGGTTGTGTGAGTGAAGTGATAGGTTGTGTGAGTGAAGGGATAGGCTACTTCATACTCTTTTTCAATAGCCAACGTACGTCACATATTAACATACTTTCACACTTATGCTTATTTCACATGGCCGAACACTTTTTAAACGCACTGCATCTTGAAACGCACATAAAATACACTTCACAACTATTCTAATGTTTTATGCCAGCACACCTTTGCACTGCTTGAGTAAACAGGGATGTTAGCACAGCCACTGAAGTTTAAGGACCAATCAGAGACAGATGTGCGTCACAAATAGCATTCTTATGGACCCTAGGGGCCCTGGTGTACTATACTGTATGTGTAGTATATAGGGCAAGGGTACTCAAGTACTATTTGAGAAGGTCTGGTCACACAGATTTCCTAGGTGGTAAAGGTCCGGATGGACAATGTCATTTATCGGTGTAGTAACAAACCCCCACCTCGCAACCCATGTGACCCCAAACTGTTCACACAACTCTTGTTGGCGGAGAGAACATGTTGCCGTTTTTAAAGCTAATTTCCTGCAATTCTACACATTTTCCCATGTCTTATGTGTGTTTAAATGATACCAGGGGTCGAAGCCCGACTGGGTCCGGAACGCTGTCCGCCAGTTGAGTATGGGGGATATAGGGAATAGGGTGCCATTTTGAATCGGAGATAAATGTGACTGTGGTTAATATCCTTGGTCTGTTCTAGGCCTATAAAACAGATTAGCAGTGAGGCCCTTCAACACAAAGAGTTCCAGTGTTCAGCTGCACGTTAACAGGACCAAACACACTGGCCCAATTTGCTCAGGAACTAACGTCACAGCTCAATTTGTGTTGACATAAAAATACCCCATCTCCCAGGCAGCTCCAGGGGTGTCCCACTCTATTCCCTGTATAATGCACTACAGGCCCAGGTCAAAAGTAATGCACTATATAGGAAATGTGGTGCAATTTGGGATACAGACCTGGAGCTGCCTGGGAGATAGGGTATTTTTATGTCAACACAAATTGAGCTGTGTTCAAAGACCGCATTGTGCCACAGTCCCATTGTGTGTGTACTTTCTAATGGCCACCTGCACAACTATTTACTGAAAGGCTAGTGCTGTTCTCCAAGTGTGACCACCGCTACTGTCCTGACCATTGGCTCAGATGGGTATAGGGCCTAGTTCTCACAGTCTGTAGGTCAACAAGGTTGAGCCACTCTAAGGAACATTTAATGAGCATCAGTTAAGAGCAGCAGCTGGGTAGTTCCACTCATTTATAAATCATATGGATGTGTCAGGCTCATCAGTTGTTTTACTGTTTGGAAATCAAGAGTGTTTAAAGAGTAGTGGGATCTACAGACAGACAGGCCTCTGATTGGTGTCTGGGGTCAAATAGAATGGGGCTTTCAACAGTCAGTCTGGCTCATGTGGGGTTTATAGAGTAGTATGAAGTTGCTCCGACTTCCAAGACACTGATCTAAGGTCAGTTTAGTGTTTTCCTCACTAATGGTTAAGGTTAGGAATAATGGTGGGCTGATCCTAGATCTGTGACCACGGGCAACATCTACCTGGAGCAGAGTTTAAAGGATGCCTGCTGGGTTTATTTGGGCCTGTTAAAACCCTATGAGAGGGGAGTCAGTGAGAGCACAGAGCAGCCATTTCTCTTTAGCTCCCGTCTTGCTCAGTGAACACGAGGCTAACCTTCTCTCCGTATATGTGGGGGGATTTCTCTGGAAAAAAATAAGAAGAAATGGAACCACACTGAGTCACAGCTTTAGTCTCTGAGTCTTTCAAATGTGGAAACTATTCTAGGAATCCTTCTACAGTGTTCATAATAGAGCTGTTGGAAAATGACTTGAGGGAGGGAGGGAAGATGCTGTAGATTGAAGGGATTGGAGGCTTTCTACTGCACGGTGTAGCAACTTTGAATGAACTAGAGTAGAACCAGGGTATCATGAAATGTTTAAACAAGATGTTATCACGTTTGTCGTGCGTGCCTGTTGGTGCATTTGTTTGTTTCAATAGCCTGTCAGAGAATTTACACCATCTACAGTACCAGTCAAAAGTTTGGACACACCTACTCATTCCAGGGTTCGTAGAATAATAGTGAAGACATCAAAACTATGAAATAACACATTTGGAATCATGTAGTAACCAAAAAAGTGTTAAACAAATCAAAATATATTTTATATTTGAGATTCTTTAAAGTAGCCACCCTTTGCCTTGATGACAGCTTTGCACACTCTTGGCATTCTCTCATACAGCTTCATGAGGTAGTCACCTTGAATGCATTTCAATTAACAGGTGTGCCTTGTTAAAAGTGAATTTGTGGAATTTATTTCCTTCTTAATGCATTTGAGCCAATCAGTTGTGTTGTGACAAGGTTGGGGTGATATACAGAAAATAGCCCTATTTGGTAAAAGACCAAGTCCATATTATGTCAAGAACAGCTCAAATAAGCAAAGAGAAATGACAGTCCATCATTACTTTAAGACATGAAGGTCAGTCAATCTGGAACATTTCAAGAACTTTGAAAGTTTCTTCAAGTGTAGTCGCAAAAACCATCAAGCGCTATGATGAAACTGGCTCTCATGAGGACCGCCACAGGAAAGGAAGACCCAGAGTTACCTCTGCTGCAGAGGATAAGTTAATTAGTTACCAGCCTCAGAAATTGCAGCCCAAATAAATGCTTCACAGAGTTCAAGTAACAGACACTATGTCACATACACGTGTTTAGCAGATGTTATAGAGGGTGTAGCGAAATGCTTGTGCTTCTAGCGCCGACAGTGCAGTAATATCTAACAATTTCACAACATATACCCAATACACACAAAAAAGTAAGGAATGGGATTTAAGAATATATACATATATGGACAAGCAATGACAGAGCGGCATGGACTAAGATACAGAAGAACATTATAGAATAGAATGCAGTATATACATATGAGATGAGTAGTGCAAGATATGTAAACATTATTAAAGTGAATAGTGTTCCATTTCTTAAAGTGGCCAGTGATTTCAATAGGCAGCAGCAGCCTCTAATGTGCTAGTGATGGCTATTTAACAGTCTAATGGTCTTGAGATAGAAGCTGTTTTTCATTCTCTCGGTCCCAGCTTTGATGCACCTGTACTGACCTCACCTTCTGGAGGATAGCGGGGTGAACAGGCAGTGGCTCAGGTGGTTGATGTCCTTGATGATCTTTTTGGCCTTCCTGTGACATCGGGTGCTGTATGTGTCTTGGAGGGCGGGTAGTTTGCCCCCGGAAATGCGTTCGACAGACCGCACCACCCTCTGGAGAGCCCTGCGGTTGTGGGCGGTGCAGTTGCCGTACCGGCGGTGATACAGCCCGACAGGATGCTCTCAATTGTGCATCTGTAAAAGTTTGTTCAGAGGAGACTGCGTGAATCAGGCCTTCATGGTCGAATTGCTGCAAAGTAACCACTAATAAAAAGAAGGACACCAATAAGAAGAAGAGACTTGCTTGGGCCAAGAGCAATGGACGAGCAATGGACATTAGACTGGTGGAAATCTGTCCTTTGGTCTGATGAGTCCAAATTTGAGATTTTTGGTTCCAACCGTCATGTCTTTGTGAGACACAGAGTAGGTGAACAGATGATCTCCGCATGTGTGGTTCCCACGATGAAGCATGGAGGAGGAGGTGTGATGGTGTGGGGGGGCTTTGCTGGTGACACTGTCGTTGATTTATTTAGAATTCAAGGCACACTTAACCAGCATGGCTACCACAGCATTCTGCAGCGATACGCCATCCCATCTGGTTTACGCTTAGTGGGACTATCATTTGTTTTTCAACAGGACAATGACCCAAAACACACCTCCAGGCTGTGTAAGGGCTATTTGACCAAGAAGGAGAGTGATGGAGTGCTGCATCAGATGACCTGGCCTCAACAATCACCCGACCTCAACCCAATTAAGATGGTTTGGGATTAATTGGGCCGCAGAGTGAAGGAAAAGCAGCCAACAAGTGCTCAGCATATGTGGGAACTCCTTCAAGACTGTTGGAAAAGCATTCCTCATGAAGCTGGTTGAGAGAATGCCAAGAGTGTGCAAAGCTGTCAAGGCAAAGGGTGGCTACTTTGAAAAATTTAAAATATATTTTGATTTGTTTAACACTTCTTTGGTTACTACATGATTCCATATGTGTTATTTCATAGTTTTGATGTCTTCACTATTATTCTACAATGTAGAAAATAGTACAAATAAAGAAAAACCCTTGAATGAGTAGGTGTGTCCAAACTTTTGACTGGTACTGTACATTAATATACAGTGAGCCAGAATAGCCCCAGGCTGGTAGGTTGTTGTAACATGGTAGCAATCTGTTTAAAACTTTGAAAAACACAAAAAGAAAGAAACCACACTGCCTCCGGGCCCTGGCAACCACACTGCTGTCCAGGCCATTTATGCCCCGCTGGCTGGCCAGGGATCTGCTGGGTTGCCAGGGTGACTGGGTCCTCCCCTCTTTGATCAGGGAAGGTCTTTGTTTGCCTGGCATGGTCTGGCTCGTCCTGCAGGGGTATTATGTGTGTGTGTGTGTCACATGCCTGTGGTGACCTGTGTAATTTTCCACCAGTCCTGGCACGGATGCCCAGCATCTCCCAGGGCACACAGGAAAGAGAGGGCATGCCACCGGGCACGAGGCAGGGAGGAGACGACTTGAGGATAAAAGAAGGGGGGATGAAGGACAGGAGGGAGGAGGACCGAGGGAAGGGAGAAAGATGAAAAGGGGACAGAGGGATAGAAAGAGAGGGCATGCAACTGGGCACGAGGCAGGCAGGCAGCAGGGAGGGAGAAATTAAATGACAGGAGGAAGGGAGGGGTAATGGACAATAGAGAGAGAGAGAGAGAGAGAGCAGACCTGGCTCTCAAGAGAAGATAGGCTATGTGCACACTGCCCACAAAATGAGGTGGAAACTGAGCTGCACTTAACCTCCTGCCAAATGTATGACCATATTAGAGACACATATTTCCCTCAGATTACAGAGATCCACAAAGAATTCGAAAACAAACCCAATTTTGATAAACTCCCTTATCTACTGGATGAAAAACCAGTGTGCCATCACAGCAGCAAGATTTGTGACCTGTTGCCTCAAGAAAAGGGCAACCAGTGAAGAACAAACACCATTATAAATACAACCCATATTTATGTTTATTTATTTTCCCTTTTGTACTTTAACTATTTGCACATTGTTACAACACTGTATATATACATAATATGACATGAAATGTCTTTATTCTTTTGGAAGTTCTGAGTGTAATGTGTACTGTTAATATTTATTGTTTATTTCACTTTTGTTTACTATCTACTTCACTTGCTTTGGCAATGTTAACATACCGTTTCGAGGAGAGAGAGAGAGAGAGAGAGAGAGGAGATAGAGAGAGAGATAGAGAGAGATAAGAGAGAGAGAGAGAGAGACGAGGATGATAGTGAGAGTAGAGAGAGAGCTCGATCTATCTTATAGAGGAGAGAGATAGAGAGAGATATCTTATCTCTGCTCGCTACTCCTCTCTCTCCCTCCGTCTATCTCGCTCTCTATCTCCTCTCCTATCTCTCTCTCTCGCTCTCTAGTCTAGCTATCGCTCTATCTATTCCGCCCCCTCTGTCTGAGATCTAGCCAGGTCCTAGCATTTGTAACGGTCAGGAGTAGGCTTGAGTTGGTCCAGGGAGAATCCTGGCCCAGTATTGTTTGAGTTAGCATAGTCTGGTTATTGTTTTACCCAACTACTTCACTCCATGAATCAGCAGTATAGGTCTAGGACATGGAGGCCTGCTTGTGCAAGCCACATTTTTAATCTCTCTTCCCTCTCCTCTCTCTTTTGCTCTCTGCCTGGTTGTGCAAGCCACATTTTTAATCTCTCTTCCCTCTCCCCCTCTCCTCTCTCTTTTGCTCTCTCTTTTGTTCTCTCGTTCTCTCTCTTTTGCTCTCTCTTTCGTGTGTGTTTGGGGGGGGTATATGCGTGGAAACAAACTTAGTGTTAACAACATCTCTCTCTGTGTTTGTCTCCTCAAGACCTTTATATTCACTGATGGGGAGGATAAGGAGCTGAGGAGGAGAGCAGGTAAGACAATACTCTTCCAGAGGTGGATAATGGGAGTACAAATAGGAGGGCAATTATTGCGTCACTGTACCTTTTTTAAATGTAACGATTTTGTCAAATGTGAATGGAGTTCTTAGAAAGACTTATATGTTATCAGGCATATGCGTATTTGATACTGTCATAACTGTCTCAGTAGTAAGATAAGTAGACTCAACATCCCTTCTCCTTTCTCTCAGGGGCTAACGTCGTCAACACCAACTGTTCAGCAGCACACACACGGCAGGCCCTGTGCTGTAAAATGTCTGTGGAATACGACAAGTTCATCGAGTCGCAGAGGAAGTGAGTCTTCAGTCACACCTTACTTCCTGCTATTCACCATCACAATTGCATGCTAAGAACATAACTATAGATTAAGTTCTTTATTATTTGGCCAATAAGAAGCCAATTCAGAATAAGTTAGTTTGTTCTCCTGCCCTGATCAGAGAGACCTGAAGTAGTCCCTCTTGCTTGGTGGTTAAGATGCTGCCTTTGTCAAGACTACTGAGCCTCTCAGTTTCAGGAGACTGCCTGTTTTGTTTAAAGAAATATTGCTCTTTCTTTACTGCTGAGAAGAGGAAAGGCCTATTTTGAGAATACATCTCACACATAAACTCAGCAAAAAAAGAAACGTCCTCTCACTGTCAACTGCGTTTATTTTCAGCAAACTTAACATGTGTAAATATTTGTATGAACATAACAAGATTCAACAACTGAGACATAAACTGAACAAGTTCCACAGACATGTGACTAACATAAATTGAATAATGTGTCCCTGAACAAAGGGGGGGTCAAAATCAAAAGTAACAGTCAGTATCTGGTGTGGCCACCAGCTGCATTAAGTACTGCAGTGCATCTCCTCCTCATGGACTGCACCAGATTTGCCAGTTCTTGCTGTGAGATGTTACCCCACTCTTCCACCAAGGCACCTGCAGGTTCCCTGACATTTCTGGGGGGAATGGCCCTAGCCCTCACCCTCCAATCCAACAGGCTCCAGACGTGCTCAATGGGATTGAGATCGGGGCTCTTCCCTGGCCATGGCAGAACACTGACATTCCTGTCTTGCAGGAAATCACGCACAGAACGAGCAATATGGCTGGTGGCATTGTCATGCTGGAGGGTCATGTCAGGATGAGCCTGCAGGAAGGGTACCACATGAGGGAGGAGGATGTCTTCCCTGTAACGCACAGCGTTGAGATTGCCTGCAATGACAACAAGCTCAGTCCGATGATGCTGTGACACACCGCCCCAGACCATGACGGACCCTCCACCTCCAAATCGATCCCGCTCCAGAGTACAGGCCTCGGTGTAACGCTTATTCCTTTGACGATAAACGCGAATCCGACCATCACCCCTGGTGAGACAAAACCGTGACTCGTCAGTGAAGAGCACTTTTTTCCAGTCCTGTCTGGTCCAGCGACGGTGGGTTTGTGCCCATAGGCGACGTTGTTGCCGGTGATGTCTGGTGAGGACCTGCCTTACAACAGGCCTACAAGCCCTCAGTCCAGCCTCTCTCAGCCTATTGCGTACAGTCTGAGCACTGATGGAGGGATTGTGCGTTCCTGGTGTAACTCGGGCAGTTGTTGTTGCCACCCTGTACCTGTCCTGCAGGCAGGTAGCTTAGTGGGTAAGAGCGTTGTGCCAGTAACCGAAAGGTCGCTGGTTCTAATCCCCGAGCCGACTAGGTGAAAAATCTGTCGATGTGCCCTTGAGCAAGGCACTTAACCCTAATTGCTCCTGTAAGTCGCTCTGGATAAGAGCGTCTGCTAAATGACTTAAATGTTAATGTTAAATGTATTATGTTCGGATGTACCGATCCTGTGCAGGTGTTGTTACACGTGGTCTACCACTGCGAGGACGATCAGCTGTCTGTCCTGTCTCCCTGTAGCGCCGTCTTAGGCGTCTCACAGTACAGACGTTGCAATTTATTGCCCTGGCCACATATGCAGTCCCCATGCCTCCTTGCAGCATGCCTAAGGCACGTTCACGCAGATGAGCAGGGACCCTGGGTATCTTTCTTTTGGTGTTTTTCAAAGTCAGTAGAAAGGCCTCTTTAGTGTCCTACGTTTTCATAACTGTGACCTTAATTGCCTACCATCTGTAAGCTGTTAGTTTCTTAATGACCGTTCCACAGGTGCATGTTCATTAATTGTTTATGGTTCATTGAACAAGCATGGGAAACAGTGTTTAAACCCTTTACAATGAAGATCTGTGAAGTTGTTTGGATTTTTACTAATTATCTTTGAAATACTTTTTTTGCTGAGTTTGTCTTAGATTCTCTGTGTGTTTAGTTAAGGAGGTCAACAGATGGATAGGACTGTATGTCTTCACTTACAGTAGCTCTGGCAAGCACAGATTGTAGGAACACACTGGCCTATTTGAAAACATTCCAAAGAACGCCATCATTGGCTTGATAATGTGATGATAACAACACCTTAACATGTCAGTAACGCTTAATAAAATGTATTTACAATAACTGTTTTTCTGTAATAACTTGCATCTCTCTCTCTCCCCCCTCCCTCCCTTTCTATTCTCTCTCCTCCTCCTCCCAGGTGGTTCTGCCATATGGATGATGATAACTATGTGATTGTACCCAGTCTGCTGAAGCTGCTGTCCTCCTACCACCACACCCAGGATGTTTACCTGGGCCGGCCCAGCCTCGACCACCCCATAGAGGCTGCAGAGAGGGTCAAGAGTGACGGATCTGTGAGTATTCCCTGTCAGTTTGTCTGTCTCTTTCTCCATGCCATCCTTCCCTCTCGCTCCATCCCTTCCATCTCGGGCGTTGTGTCTATGCCTCCCTTCCTGTCTCTCTCTTTATCTCTCTCCCTTTCTGTCTCTTACTCCTTACCTCTGACCCTTGTTTTCTTCTCCCAGGTGTCAGTGAAGTTCTGGTTTGCTACAGGAGGAGCAGGGTTCTGTATCAGTCGTGGTCTGGCCCTCAAGATGAGTCCATGGGCTAGGTGAGTTTGAACAGTTCAACACTCTCAATGTTCTTCAGATGCACATATTATTGTAGCTATTAAGCAAAACTGTTTTGAGTCTCTCTCTCTCTCTCGCTCTCTCTCGCTCTCTCTCCTCTCTCTCTCTCTCTCTCCTCTCTCTCTCTCTCTCTCTCTCTCTCCTCTCTCTCTCTCTAGTCTGGGGAACTTCATCAGCACAGCGGAGAAGATCCGTCTCCCTGACGACTGCACCATCGGTTACATAATTGAGGCGCTGCTGGAGGTGATGCTGACCCACACACACCTCTTCCACTCCCACCTGGAGAACCTGCAGAGGCTGCCCACAGACACCGTGCTGGAGCAGGTAAGGGTGGGGGGCTGTATCTGTCTTTGTGAGAGAGAGATTGTCTACACACAAGTGTGTGGGTGAAAGAGAGGGAGATGGAAAGAAAGAGACAAACCCTACTTTGTTTTTTGTCTGTGATGTATACAACAGCTACCAATTGTTTTGCGTGTGTGTGTCTAGGTCACTCTGAGCTACGGTGGTTTTGAGAACAGGAGGAATGTGGTCAGCATTGGAGGAGCCTTTTCTCTGGTGGAGGACCCCTCACGGTAAGCAGACATTAACCCAACATCCATCCAACATCCACCCAACATTGTCATGTACAAGACAATTACATGACACTGGTTTACTAAACCTCTGCCTCAGTGTAAAGTTTGCTCTAGCTGAATTGTGAATTACATGTAAATGGTTATCACCTCTCTCTCCACCAACTATTTCCTCTGTCTTGCCATCGCTCATCTCGCCCTCTCTCTTCATCCATCTGCCCCCTCTCTCTTCCTCCCCTCTCTTTCTGTCTCTCTCTCCAGGTTTAAGACTGTCCACTGCCTCCTCTACCCAGAGACCGACTGGTGTCCTAGTAAGGGTCACCATTGATGGCCACTAAAGTATATCAACAATACTTCCTACCAGCCTGGTTGTCTGGTGTCCCTGTGTATGCTAGCTATATCATTGCCATGGCAAAATGACAATTTGGCCAAAGCAAAACCAGACTGGCACCCTGGCTAACCCTACAGAACCACTTCACTCAGATAAAATGGTTAGATGTCTGTGGGTCTTTGAGAGGAGACAAGACGAGGTAACTGGAGTGAGGATCACTTTGGTCATGGTGGGAAGATGAAGAAATGCCCCACTACTCTTTCTTATCACTACTGTACCCTCCACTCGACTCATTGCAGGAAGTTGTCATCGCTGGCTGTTGCCGTGGCGATGTGTATCACCACTCCTTGCTTTAAATCCCAATCTCTTTTACTATTGTAGTCCAGGGTTTTTTGAAGGAGTGTTAAGGTACTTAAATTACTGTTGAAAAGGTACCTTAAGATGCTGAACAGGGTGAAATGTTAATTTATTTGCTTTTAGGTCCAAAGATTTACTGGACTGATGTTTTTTATACAAGGGCTCATGACCAAAAGTAGTCAGAGATGAATATCAGATATTAGTGTTACAGGAAGAGAGAGAAAGTTTAAGTAATGAGTGAGAGCCGTTTGTGCTTGTGTAACGGAGTTAAGAACGTACCGTAAGCTCACTCCACAACTAGCTTGAAATGTCGCAGATGGAGCTATCCAATTGGATCCTTTTGTATAGCTCAATCGGTTGGTACATTGTCAAGGAGGGCGGTCAGGTGTGTTTGCGAGCAGAGGATCACTAGTTGAAGCCCGGTATGGGGACCGTGACAGTGGAGGAAGCTATACTGTTAGCTACACGTTGGTTTCACTTCAGAGACAACCCTTGTTGTGCCCCTCATGTCCTGAAGTTAATTTCTTACCAGAAGAGGTTTTAAACTGGTGTGTGTACATGTGTGCAGGTTTGTGTGCAACCTAATGGTTTAACCACTCAATCAGAATGCTTTTAACATCTTATAGCCAAAGATTATGCCAGTGCCTTATGTTTCAATCAACTAGACTTTGGAAATGCTTAAGAGCACATAATGAAAAATGAATTGAAGAAATTAAAGTGATCATATGTGTGATAGTAGGAATAAACATGAGTGTGCACCACACATATACACACAGCCCTGCAGTAACCAAAACAGACTCCTCTGAAGGTGACACACTATCTTAAAGATCATTCATTAGAACCCTTTTTTTTGCGTTTCCCCCAATACATGTTTTTTCTCTGTCAAAAAGACTACACATTTTGCACTCATCTCAATTCCTGTGTATAATATTCTGGTGTTATTAAAAGTTACAGAGTTGTTGACGTGTTATAATGTGTGAGCTTGAGCTGGAAGTACTTCGTGTCTTTTTCTGATGTCTCACATTCTCCTTTTTGCACAAAAACACTACAATCCAAATACAGAATCTGTCTGTCTTTCCCCACTGCAGGTCAGTTGCTGAGAGAGAGAGAGAGAGAGAGGTCTGATTAAGACTCTAGTCAGGATGTGATTTTTCCTCTTGTCTTCAACTGTCCTCTGTTTTACCATTGATGTATTATTTTCTTTTCTGTTGAATAAAGCATGTTTTGCAGCATTACCAAACAACACAACACTCCTCTCTGCCCTTTGCTTTGCAGATTCTATATATATATATATTTTAATCATTATAAATATTAAGAGACAATTACCAACACAGTGATGTACAATAGAACAGTGGAACAATGTTGATGGTGCCGAAAGACACTGTCGCCCTGTTTCTAGCTTCTAGACAACTTTGCAGTATTATTTTGTGTGTTATTATTTGCTCAGAACGTTTCTTGCAATATGACCTACAACTGGAAATAACTTTTGGATATTAGATCGGCGGTCACTCACCAGCATTTCGACCAGAAACTCAACTTCCCTGAATTGATTCATTTGTTTGAATTTCCAGAGGCAATTCCATTCACTCCAGGGGCTGCTTTAAGACGCCGTCGCCAGAGAAGAGGAATAAGAAGTGGGCTTTTAGTCATACCATCCACCGCTTCTGAGTATATTACTCACTAACGTTCAATCCCTTGACAGTAAAGTAGATGAGCTCATGGCGAGGATCTCCATCCAGAGAGACATCAGGGACTGTAACATACTCGGTTTCATGGAATCATGGCTCTCTCCGGATATACTGTCCCCATCCATTCAGCCAGCAGGGTTCTCCATCCATCGCGTGGACAGGGAAAAAAAACTCCTAGAAAAGGAAAGGTGGAGGTGGATGTTTCATGATTAACTACTCATGGTGAGATTGTGGTAACATACAGGACCTCAAGTCCTTTTGTTCTCCCGATCTAGAATACCTCACCATCAAATAATTATCTTCGGTCATCGTCATGGCCGTGTATATCCCCCCCCCCCCCCCCCCCAAGCCGACACCGCGACGGCTCTCAAGGAACTACCCTAGACTTTGTGTAAACCGGAAAGCGCATATCCTGAGGCCGCATTTATTGTAGCTGGGGGCTTTAATAAAGGAAATCTGAGGAAAACACTACCAAAGTTTTATCAACACATTTCCTGTGCTACTCGCTCATCGAGCACTCTTGACCATTGCTACGTCCCTTTCCAGGACAGCTACAAGGCCCTCCCCCGCCCCTCCTTCGGCAAATCAGATCACGCCTCCATTTTGCTTCTCCCCTCCTTTAGGCAGAAACTTAAACACAAAGTACCCGTGGTAAGGACTGTTCAACGTTGGTCTGACAAATCGGAATCTGAGAATGGTATTGACGTATACACTGACTCGTGACAGGAAGTGCATAGAGGATGTTGTTCCCACTGTGACGATTAGAACTTATCCAAACCAAAAACCATGGATAGATGGCAGCATTTGCGCAAAACTGAAAGTGCGAACCACCTCATTTAACCATGGTAAGGTGACTGGGAACATGGATGTGTACCAGAGGAGGCTGGTGGGAGGATGGGCTCATTGTAATGGCTGGAATGGAATAATTGGAACATTATCAAACATATAAAAAACACATATTTGACTCCGCTCAATTTAATTCATTCCAGCCATTACAATGAGCCCGTCCTCCTATAGCTCCTCCCACCAACCGCCTCTGACGTGTACAAACAGATGAGCTATGCCTTCCGTAAGGCAATCAAACAGGCAAAATTACAGTACAGGGACAAAGTGGAGTCGCAATTCAACGGCTCAGACGTATGTGGAAGGGACTTCAGACAATCAAGGTTTGTAAAGGGAAAGCCAGCCACATCGCGGACACCGACGCCTTGCTCCTGGACAAGCTAAACACCTTCTTCGCCCGCTTCGAGGAAAACAGTGCTACTGACGCGGGCCATCGCCGCTCACAAAGACTGTGAGATCTCTTTCTTCGTGGCCGACGTGAGTAAGACATTTAAGCGTGTTAACCTTCACAAGGCTGCCAGCCCAGATGGCATCCCAAGCTGCATCCTCAGAGCATGTGCAGACCAGCTGGCTGGAGTGTTTACGGACATATTCTATCTCTCCCTATCCCAGTCGTCCCCACTTGTTTCAAGATGTCCACCATTGTTCCTGTACCCAAGAAAGCAAAGGTAACTGAACTAAATGACTATCACCCCGTAGTACTCACTTGTCATCATGCAGTGCTTTGAAAGGCTAGTTAAGGTTATATATTTTATTTACCTTTATTTAATCAGAGAGACACCAATGAGACCAGTGTCTATTTTACGAGGGAGTCCTGCATATACAATTTCAAGAAAATCTCCTCCACCTTACCTGACACCCTAGACCAGGGCTGCCCAACCCTCTTCCTGGAGATCTACCGTCCTGTGGGTTTTCAGTCCAACCCTAATTTAACACACCTGATTCTACTTATTAGCTGCTCAACAAGACCTTAACTAGCTGAATCAGATATGCTAAATTAGGGTTGGACTGAAAACCTACAGGACAGTAGATCTCAAGGAAGAGGGTTGGGCAGCCCTGCCCTAGACCAACAACAATTTGCATACTGCACAGATCCACAGATGACACAATTGCCATCGCACTGCCCCTATCCCATCTGGACAAGAGGAATGCCTATGTAAGAATGCTGGTCACCGACTACAGCTCAGCCTTCAACACCATAGTGCCCTCTAAGCTCGGGGCCCTGGGTCTGAACCCCGCCCTGTGCAACTGGGTCCTGGACTTCCTGACGGGCTGACCCCAGGTGGTGAAGGTAGGCAACAACACCTCCGCTACACTGATCCTCAACGTTGGGTCCCCACAAGGGTGCATGCTCAGCCCCCTCCTGTACTCCCTGTTCACCCATGACTGAATGGCCATGCACCTATCCAACTCAATCATCAAGTTTGCAGACAACACAACAGTGGTAGGCCTGATTACCCACAATGACGAGACAGCCTACAGGGAGGAGGTGAGGGCCCTGGCGGAGTGGATTCAGGAAAATAACCTCTCCCTCAACGTCAACAAAACGAAGGACCTGATCATGAACTTCCGGAGACAGCAGAGCGAGCACGCCCCATCCAACTCGACGGGCCGCAGTGGAGAGGGTGAAAAGTTTCAAGTTCCTCGGCGTGCACACCATGACAACCTGAAATGATCCATCCACAGTATGGTGAAGAAGGCACAACAGCGCCTCCTCAACCTCAGGAGGATGAAGAAATTCTGCTTGGCCCCTAAGACCCTCACAAACTTCTATAAATGAACCATTGAGAGCATCCTGTAGGGCTGTATCACGGCCTGGTACGGCAATTGCACTGTCCGCAACGCATCACCGGGGGCACATTGCCTGCCGTCCAGGACATCTACAGCACCCGGTATCACAGGCAGATAAAAATAAAAAAACAGAAATACCTTATTTACATAAGAATTAAGACCCTTTGCTATGAGACTCAAAATTTTGCTCAGGTGCATCCTGTTTCCATTGATCATCCTTGAGATGTTTCTATAACTTGATTGGAGTCCACCAGTGGTAAATGTAATTGATTGGACATGATTTGGAAAGGCACACACCTGTCTATATAGGGTCCCACAGTTGACAGTGCATGTTAGAGCAAAAACCAAGCCATGAGGTCGAAGGAATTGTCCGTAGTGCTCCGAGACAGGATTGTGAAGAGGCACAGATCTGGGGAAGGGTACCAACATTTCTGCAGCATTGAAGGTCCCCAAGAACACAGTGACCTCCATCATTCTTAAATGGAAGAAGTTTGGAACCACCAAGACTCTTCCTAGAGCTGGCCGCCCGGACAAACTGAGCAATCGGGGGAGAAGGGCCTTGGTCAGGGAGGTAACCAAGAACCCGATGTTCACTCTGACAGAGCTTCAGAGTTCCTCTGTGGAGATGGGAGAACCTTCCAGAAGGACAACCATCTCTGCAGCACTCCACCAATCAGTATTTTACGGTAGAGTGGTCAGAGGGAAGCCACTCCTCAGTAAAAGGCGAGTGACAGCGCGCTTGGAGTTTGCCAAAAGGCACCTAAAGACTCTCAGACCATGAAAAACAAGATTATCTGGTCTGATGAAACCAAGATTGAACTATTTGGCCTGAATGCCAAATCAAATCAAATCAGATTTTATAGGTCACATACACATATATTTCAGATGTTATTGTGGGTGTAGCGAAATGCTTGTGTTCCTAGCTCCTTTCAGTGCAGTAGTATCTAACAATTCACAACAATACACAAATCTAAAAGTAAAAGAATGGAATTAAGAAATATATAAATATTAGGACGAGCAATGTCGGAGTGGCATTGACTAAAATACAGTAGAATAGAATACAGTATATACATATGAGATGAGTAAAGCAGTGTGTAAACATTATTAAAGTGACTAGTGTTTCATTATTAAAGTGGCGTAGTGACTCCATGTCTATGTATATAGGGCAGCAGCCTCTAAGGTGCAGGGTTCAGCCTCATGAGGTTGAAGAGGCGCTGTTGCCGGCAGCTATTGTGAGGGTTAACACGCTTCAATGTCTTACTCATTTCGGCCACGGAGAACGAGAGCCCACAGTCCTTGGGAGTGGGCCGCGTCGGTGGCACTGTGTTATCCTCAAAGCGGGCGAAGGTGTTTAGCTTATCTGGGAGCAAGACATCTGTGTCCGCAACGTGGCTGGTTTTCCCTTTGTAATCCGTGATTGTCTGCCATTGAATTGCGACTCCACTTTGTCTCTGTACTGACGTTTTGCCTGTTTGATTGCCTTACAGAGGGAATAGCTACACTGTTTGTATTCAAACATATTCCCAGTCACCTTGCCATAGTTAAATACGGTGGTTTGCGCTTTCAGTTTTGTGCGAATGCTGCCATCTATCCACGGTTTCTGGTTTGGGTAGGTTTTAATAGTCAACATGGGAACAACATCCCCTATACACTTCCTGATGAACTCAGTCACCGTGTCGGTGTAAACGTCAATGTTATTCTCAGAGGCTACCCGGAACATATCCCAGTCCGCGTGATCAAAACAATTTTCAAGCATGGATTCCGATTGGTGAGACCAGTGTTGAATAGACCTTAACACGGGTACTTCCTGTTTGAGTTTCTGCCTATAGGAAGGGAGGAGCAAAATGGAGTCGTGATTTGATTTGCCGAAGGGAGGGCGGGGGAGGGCCTTGTAGGCATCTTGAAAAGGCGAGTAGCAGTGGTCTCGTGTTTTTCCTAAGCGAGTACTACAGTCAAGTCGGTTCGATCCCCGGGACCACCCATACGTAAAAATGTATGCACACATGACTGTAAGTCGCTTTGGATAAAAGCGTCTGCTAAATGGCATAATATCATAATATTAATGTGTTGATAGAACTTTGCCAAGCGTCACGTCTGGAGGAAACCTGGCACCATCCCTACGGTGAAGCATGGTGGTGGCAGCATCATGCTGTGGGGATGTTTTTCAGCGGCAGGGACTGGGAGACTAGTCAGGATCGAGGGAAAGATGATTGGAGCAAAGTACAGAGAGATCCTTGATGAAAACCTGCTCCAGAGTGCTCAGGACCTCAGAATGGGGTGAAGGTCCACCTTCCAACAGGACAATGACCCTAAGCACACAGCCAAGACAACGCAGGAGTGGCTTCGGGACAAGTCTCTGAATGTCCTTGAGTGGCCCAGCCAGAGCCCGGACTTGAACCCAATCTAAAATAGCTTTGTAGCGACGCTCCTCATCCAACCTGACAGAGCTTGAGAGGATCTGCAGAGAAGAATGGGAGAAACTCCCCAAATACAGATGTGCCAAGCTTGTAGCATCATACCCAAGAAGACTTGAGGCTGTAATCTCTGCCAAAGGTGTTTCAACAAAGTACAGAGTAAATGGTCTGAATATTTATGTAAATTTCATATTTCCATTTGTTATTTTTAATAAATTTTCAAAAATGTCTAAAAACCTGTTTTTGCTTTGTCATTATGGGGTATTGTGTGTAGATTGATTAGGGAAAAAACAATTTAATCCATTTTAGAATAAGGCTGTAACATCAAAAAATGTGTAAAAAGCCAAGGGGTCTGAATACTTTCCGAATGCACTGTACAGTATACTGTATTATACACTCGGTGAGTCGAGTCCTAATGCCGATTGCAAAAAAATGTATTTGTACTGTTCTAATTACGTTGGTAACCAGTTTATAATAGCAATAAGGCACCTCTGGGGTTTGTGGTATATGACCAATATACCACGGCTAAGGGCTGTTCTTATGCGTGCATAAGAACAGCCCTTAGCCATGGTATATTGGCATAAACCACACCCCCTCGGGCCTTATTACTTAATTGTATTCTAGTCAAGGCTCATCCTATATAACTACTGCTGTACACACCTTTCTATTCATATACTGTCTACACACACCATCATATACATATATATTTATATTCCGGACTCTGACTAAGCTTGTTCTGATATTTCGTTATTTCTTTATTTTTAGGGATTTGTGTGTATTGTTTTGTATAGTTCGGTATTACTGCACTGTTGGAGCTAGAAACATAAGCATTTAGCTTCACCTGCGATAACATCTGCAAAATATGTGTACGCGACCAATAGAATGTGATTTGATGTTGGCACATTTACTATTGTTATTACAGTAAATAAGGGGCAGATGAGTTTTAACTGTTTGAGTTAACATAATCAGCTTGATTCTCCCACCCTTTGGGACAACGTGCTTGGCCCATGATGTTTGTCAGTGAGCTAATGCCGTGTTTCCCAACTCCAGTGCTCGAGTAGCCACAACAGTACACATTCAAATTTTAGCCCTGGACAAGCATACCTGATTCAACTCGTCAACTAATCATCAAGCCTTCGATTAGTTAAATCAGGTGTGTTTGTTGAGGGCTACAACAAAAATGTGTGCTGTTTGGGGTACTCGAGGACTGGAGTTGGGAAACGCTGAGCTAATGCATGGAGGCCTATGAAATGTTTGCTTCATTGGAACATAATAACCCAGCTCGCATTAGATTTATGCCTGATTACCTCACTCACCCCTTTACCCTATCATGGGCTGCCATCAATCCAACCCCATTTCCAGCAGAGAGGAAAGATAACTCTGGGATAATTGGTTTATGCACTGGGGTAATTTCTCTCTCTGACTGAAACTCAATTGGAGAATGCGATAACTCAGTGAGACAAATGCTCATGGCCGTATTTAATAAATCATGTCCGAGTAGGAGTGCTATACAGACAGCTGGGTACCTGATCCTAGATCAGCACTCCTACTCCGAGCGACATGGGGGAGGGGGAGGGGGAGAGAGAGATATGTCACAGACCCAGAACAACAAAGAGTCATTGTGCTGCTAGTGCATGATTCCACTGCCTGTCTTGAAGGGACTGAAAATTGTAAATTATACAGTGGAATTTTGGCCCACTCTTGCATGCAGAACTGCTTTAACTCAGCAACATTTGTGGGTTTTCAAGCATGAACTGCTGGTTTCAAGTCTCAATCTAAAACATGAGACTTTAAGTTTTATTGACTTTGGCCTGCACAATTTGATTTACTGAGATGATATTTTATGACATGAAAGTCTATCTCTAAATACACATGAAAAACATACATATAATGGATTGTAAATATTAATTTACAGTGAATTTGATGTTGGTTGTTGAATACTCTGTTCTGATGCAATATTTAATATTATGATGCCTATGTACCCGTTGCTTCTAGTGGTCAACTAGGAACAGTAACTTTTTTGTCCATTAGGCCTACCTTTTTGTGCAACATTGTTTCTTTCAAGTGGAGCCGTCTGTCCACTCTCCATACACCACATCCGCGAGGAGACTGGTTTCCGCTAGTTACCACAGCCACAAAGTCAAATAAAAAAATTGCTTTATGGTTTTAATTTACGGTTAGGCATAAGGTTAGCAGTGTGGTTAATGTTAGGTTTAAAATCACGTTTTAAGAAGATACATTGTACAAATGGGCGGGGTTTATGACTTTGCGGCTGTCGTAACTAGCGACCACCGGGTAAATAAATTACTTTATAGAGCTCAATATATCTTGCACTGTTCATATAACGATTAGAATGAAGAAGATTTACTTTAACGCGAAATTTCTAAATATTTGAAAGTGGGGAGGGCATGTAGTTTCGATTTTGCTTTTATCGCATGGGGGATTGGCTGTTGTGTTGTATTGTATCTCTCACCCTTTGCTCTCCATATTGTGCAACATTTAGCTGAATTCAGAGGAACTCGACCCATAAATTCGCAGTGAAGGTCTGAAGAGCCATGGAAATATCTTTCGCAGGCAAGCGGGCCATAGTCACCGGGGCAGGAAAAGGTAAGAAAACTACCACCATATTTAAAGAAACAGTGACAACGTCTGGTTTGCTGCAAAAATACAACCAAATGCACTTAGGATAAGTAAACCAAACTTGTACATGTTGTTTTGAGCTCAAACTAAGCAACATCCAATGTGTCCTGAAAGAACCACTGTCATGTTTGTGGGTGACCGAATAACCTAAACACGATCGAAATGTGTGTGTCAGGTTGGCCGTCACACTGAGCTCTCCAGTGAGTAATGGTCATTGTGTTTATGGATATTTTCACACAGGCATCGGCCGGGCCACAGCGCTTGCTCTGGCGCGCTGCGGGGCAGAGGTCGTGGCTGTCACACGCACGCGGGCTGACCTGGATAGCCTTCTTCTGGAGGTAACCCCCCCTGCACCACTCATAAACACCCCCCATACCCCTACAACAGTGGTGGTCGGTGCTGTTTAAGATTGGGGAGGAAGTGGTTTTTTTAATGAGCATGGCCTTATTTCTATTACAGCATACTGGATGTCTGTCATTCATATTTCATTCATCTAGCTAAATGTGATACTCAAATGTTCCCTATACCCATGATGAGGTTGCTACAACCTAGCCTAAGAATGAAAGTTTATAATGTAGGTGCACATGTCAAGAGACAAATTGGAGTAATCAAGGTAACAGACAGTGACACTTTCAATAACGCCTTGCACACTCTTGCCTGCATCTAGCTGATCTTGACTTGGAAGAGTTCCAGTGTTGGATAGCCTTAGCCAGCTAGCTAACATAAATAGCATTCCTCTCGGTTTGAGCCAGGTGTTTGAGTAGACTAAATTAGCTAGCTGCATTAGCTAGCTAAGTAAGTGAAAGTGAAAAAATAAAACAAAATATAGCTAGCTCTCTCTCTGTTGCTTCTCCTTAATTTTTGAAGAAATTAATTTGTTCAAAACTTGTTCAACTATTGTCTTTCTCTCTCTTTGAGTCAACTACTCACCACATGTTATGCACTGCAGTGCTAGCTAGCTGTAGCTTATGCTTTCTGTACTAGATTCATCCTCTGATCCTTTGATTGGATGGACAACATGTCAGTTCATGCTGCAAGAGCTCTGATAGGCTGGAGGACATTATACAGTCGTCATAATTACCGTGTAAGTCTATGGAAGGAGGTGAGAACCATGAGCATCCTAGGTTTTGTATTTAAGATGGATGGTCCTCCCCTTCCTCCTCTGAGGAGCCTCCAGTGCATTACGACCCTCATATCCCCCAAGCCCAGCCCCCCTCCACTGCTCAGGGTCCTGACCCCCCGTTGTTTGCTCTTTTGTCCCCTTATAGGACCTCTCCTCTCCACTAGCCATATACGCATATCATTAGAGGCTAGCTAGTTTTCCCCGCTGCTCTTTTCACCTCCATGTCCCATTGTTTCCGCTCCGTGACGAGAGATGATGGGAGATTCTTTGCGGTGATTCGTTGAGGTGCTTCTCTCTGTTGTCTTTTCTCTCTATGTGATTGGTTCTGGTGCTGGTTGTTCCCTGCAGTGTCTGTCCATCAGGCCAGTGTGTGTGGACCTTGGGGACTGGGGGGCCACAGAGGAGGCGCTACGTGAGGCCGGCGGTAATGTGGATCTGCTGGTGAATAACGCAGCCTATGCCATGCTGCAGCCCTTCCTAGAGGTCACCCCCGACCAGTTTGACATGTAAAGACGCACTCATTGCTGTTCTTTAAATCAGCAATTCTCAACTGGCGGGGGGGGGGGGGGTGTTTCGAATGAAAAAACAACAACACATTTTTATAATTTTTTTGGGGAAATGAAAAATACTCCAGTCTGAACTTAAACTACTAAAGCCAGGTAGAAAGTGTGTAGAAATGATAATGAATCTACATTTTAAAAACAATTTGTCCGAATTTTTGTATTTTCAATAGAGCTTTTAGCAGCGCTATTTAGCGTATTTGGTAGATTTTTTTTATTGGTCTCAAACCAGTGAGCTTACTAACATTCTTCATCAAGAATATGGGCAAAATTGATTATTGACAATGGAAATGGTTGGAATGTTGATCCATTGTCATATAAATTGCTACATTTACTATCAATATTGCATTAAAAATAGCTTTTTGATGATTTTGTATCGCAATGTGAATATTGGGTTGCAACTGAGACAACCTGGGCCAATTTGAGTCCCGAGGCAAAACCAGTTGAGAACCACTGCTTTAAATCATGTTGTGATTGTAATTCATATTTATAGAAGTGAAACACAAGTCACTCAAGACTCAGTATAAGGACTTTGTATTAGACCTACATATTAGACCTGTTCATTTAAACATGGTTTAAAAATAGCTTTCCAGATAACATGGTTTAAATAAACAAGGTATGTCTGTGTTACCTCCAGGTGGCTAGTTACACAGCAGAAATATTCCAAACATAGCTTTATATCTGGACATTAATAGGAATATCTCATAAATCCCATTAAGATGTATTGATTCCTTCCTATTACCAGATCCTTTAACATCAACGTGAAGGCTGCCCTCCATGTCTCTCAGGTAAGAAAAGGCTGTCAGAAATGGAATTGGCTCCCTGTAAGATAGTTATATGTTATACTTAACAGTTTCTCCATACTCACTGTGCGTTCTCTGTCTCTCTCTCTTTCTCTCTCTCTGTGTGTGTGTAGATCGTGGCCCGGGGTATGAAGGCCAGAGGAACAGGAGGCTCCATAGTGAACATCTCCAGCCAGGCGTCTCAGTGTGCCCTCCGAGACCACACTGTCTACTGTAAGTCACTGACACAGAGAGGGACCAGACAGCGTAACACATACAGTGGGGAGAACAAGTATTTTGCAGGTTTTCCTACTTACAAAGCATGTAGATGTCTGTAATTTTTATCATAGGTACACTTCAACTGTGAGAGACGGAATCTAAAACAAAAATCCAGAAAATCACATTGTATGATTTTTAAGTAATTAATTTGCATTTTATTGCATGACATAAGTATTTGATACATCAGAAAAGCAGAACTTAATATTTGGTACAGAAACCTTTGTTTGCAATTACAGAGATCATACGTTTCCTGTAGGTCTTGACCAGGTTTGCACACACAGCAGCAGGGATTTTGGCCCACTCCTCCATACAGACCTTCTCCAGGTCCTTCAGGTTTCGGGGCTGTCGCTGGGCAATACAGACTTTCAGCTCCCTCCAAAGATTTTCTATTGGGTTCAGGTCTGGAGACTGGCTAGGCCACTCCAGGACCTTGAGATGCTTCTTATGGAGCCACTCCTTAGTTGCCCTGGCTGTGTGTTTCGGGTCGTTGTCATGCTGGAAGAACCAGCCACGACCCATCTTCAATGCTCTTACTGAGGGAAGGAGGTTGTTGGCCAAGATCTTGCGATACATGGCCCCATCCATCCTCCCCTCAATACGGTGCAGTCGTCCTGTCCCCTTTGCAGAAAAGCATCCCCAAAGAATGATGTTTCCACCTCCATGCTTCACGGTTGGAATGGTGTTCTTGGGGTTGTACTCATCCTTCTTCTTCCTCCAAACACGGCGAGTGGAGTTTAGACCAAAAAGCTCTATTTTTGTCTCATCAGACCACAAGACCTTCTCCCATTCCTCCTCTGGATCATCCAGATGGTCATTGGCAAACTTCAGACGGGCCTGGACATGCGCTGGCTTGAGCAGGGGGACCTTGCGTGCGCTGCAGGATTTTAATCCGTGACGGCGTAGTGTGTTACTAATGGTTTTCTTTGAGACTGTGGTCCCAGCTCTCTTCAGGTCATTGACCAGGTCCTGCCGTGTAGTTCTGGGCTGATCCCTCACCTTCCTCATGATCATTGATGCCCCACGAGGTGAGATCTTGCATGGAGCCCCAGACGGAGGGTGATTGACCGTCATCTTGAACTTCTTCCATTTTCTAATAATTGTGCCAACAGTTGTTGCCTTCTCACCAAGCTGCTTGCCTATTGTCCTGTAGCCCATCCCAGCCTTGTGCAGGTCTACAATTTTATCCCTGATGTCCTTACACAGCTCTCTGGTCTTGGCCATTGTGGAGAGGTTGGAGTCTGTTTGATTGAGTGTGTGGACAGGTGTCTTTTATACAGGTAACGAGTTCAAACAGGTGCAGTTAATACTGGTAATGAGTGGAGAACAGGAGGGCTTCTTAAAGAAAAACTAACAGGTCTGTGAGAGCTGGAATTCTTACTGGTTGGTAGGTGATCAAATACTTATGTCATGCAATAAAATGCAAATTAATTACTTAAAAATCATACAATGTGATTTTCTGGATTTTTGTTTTAGATTCCGTCTCTCACAGTTGAAGTGTACCTATGATAAAAATTACAGACCTCTACATGCTTTGTAAGTAGGAAAACCTGCAAAATCGGCAGTGTACCAAATACTTGTTCTCCCCACTGTACATCCCATCAAAACACACAGCAGCTATAGTGCCATTATATCAGTGAACTCATTAAATCTTGATATAGTTGATATTTGAATGGATACGGTCTTTCTGTGTGTGCAGGTTCCACTAAAGGAGCTCTGGACATGCTGACTAAGGTTATGGCCCTGGAGCTTGGACCCTATCAGGTAACTACAGGAGGACTGACCCAATAGCAGAGAGCACACATCAAGACACACATGGTTCTTCTGATGTCAAACCAGTACATTACATCTCTGTCTGCAACAGTTGTATTGTATTGTGGTGGCAGCATCATGTTATGGGTATTCTTGTCACCGGCAGGGACTGGGAAGTTTGTCAGGATCAAAAGAAACATGAAAGGAGCAAAGCCCCAATAAAAAGTTAGAGGAAACCCTGCCTCAGTCTTCTTTATACCTAACCCTGGGATAGTTTTATTTTTCATGCAGGACAATTACAAATGTTTTTATGCCAAAGATACCAGAATGGCTTTCCAATGGGTGTTGAGTGTTCCTGAATTGTCTAGTCTCCATCCTGACTTAAATCTGTTTGAAATCAGAGACAAGGTTTGAATATTACTGCCCATCAACCAAATTTACTGAGCTTGAGAAATTTTGACAAAAAACGATGGATATATGTTGCCCTAAGAGCAGTGGTGTGTCCAGGGGTGTCCCAGTGTGGCCACGGCCTCCCCTGAAATCTGATTGGCAACTCCACTCCCCCCCCCAGAAATTCTGAGATCTGATAGGTCGTCTCTGAATATATTGATAATTCTGACCAAGACGCGCACCAACAGCAAGCCTCATCAATCTCACCGGAGAAAGCATCCAAGTGAGCAAAACTGTGCCCCTGAAGCTAGGACAGCAGAGTCCCCCCCCATCTTCAGAAAACATCGGAAGCCCTACCTCTTCAGAGTATCCCCCTTTCGTGAACTAACACTCACACTTGACTTTTCCCCCTACTAGCACTGACTTTGCTGATAGCTACTTTATTGAGGAAAAATGTACTTACTATGACTGAGATACACTGAGTGTACAAAACATTAGGAACACCTTCCTAATATTGAGTTGCACCCCCGTTTGCCCTCAGAAAAAGGTGTCGAAAGCATTCCACAGGGATGCTGGCCCATGTTGACTCCAAAGTTTCCCACGGTTGTGTCAAGTTGGCTGGATGTCTTTTGGGTGGTGGACCATTCTTGATACACACAGGAAACTGTTGAGCGTGGAAAAACCCAACAGCGTTGCAGTTCTTGACACATGCAAACCGGTATGCCTGGCACCTACTACCATACCCCGTTCAAAGGCACTTAAATATTTTGTCTTGCCCATTCACCCCCTGAATGGCACACATACACAATCCATGTCTCAATTGTCTCAATACTTAAAAATCCTTCTTGAACCTGTCTCCTCCCCTTCATCAATAACATCAATAAGGGATCATAGCTTTCCCCTGGATTCACCTGGTCAGTCTATGTCATGGAAAGTGTTCCTAATGTTTTGTACACTCAGTGTATGTGGTTGTCCCACCTAGCTACCTTAAGATGAATGCACTAACTGTAAGTCGCTCTGGATAAGAGCGTCTGCTAAATGACTAAAATGTAAATGTAAAAATATATGTGTAGCCCATGTATCTGAGTCTGTATGGCCAAAAGGAGTATGACATGTCATATTATTTTGGCCAGACGGCACCAGATACATGGGCTACACATACTAAGAGAGAGGGGCGCTGTTTGCCTTGCTCTGATGCTTTCTCTGGTGAAATAGATTCAGCCTCTTGCTAATTGAAGGAAAATTATGAAACACGGATAGACACGAATGAGAAATAATTGTATACCTTTTGTTTCTTTTTTTATTGTAACATTTGTTGGGTACCATGAATACACTACACTTTGTAGGCTGAATGTCATCAGACTTATGGTGTTTGTAAAATATCTCTGTTTCAATTCAAATGGCGGGTGCACAGTGCACTGTTCGGATGCTGGACTTATTTTGGAGTAGATGAACATGCGCAGGTCACCTACTTAACCTACTTTTTGAAGTGTTGGTAGAATCTTATTCAGAATCTCTTCATTTTAATTGTTTTAATAATTCAGAAATGTTCTATACTTTTCCTTTCACTGGAAAGCTGGCAAAAAATATCAAATGTAATATTTTTTTTATTGAATTTTAAGGCAGCAAAAATGTGAAGACCTTCACTAGGCATGTATTGGTTATCTAGAGTGACTAGGGTTAAGTGTCTTGCTCAAGGGCACATTGACAGAGTTATCACGTAGTCAGCTTGGGGATTTGAACCAGCGACCTTTTGGTTACTGGCCCAACACTCTTAACCGCTAGGTTACCTGCCTTATTGACTGATAAGTATTGATTGATGTGGTGTACTTGTTTCTTGCTAGATCCGTGTGAACAGTGTGAACCCCACAGTCGTAATGACTGAGATGGGGAGACTGGGATGGAGCGACCCTGACAAGGCCAAGACCATGACCTCACGCATCCCTCTGGGACGATTTGCAGGTCACATACATGTTGTTTTCTTACTAATATGTTATTTATATACTGTATATTAGATGTACTCGTCTTTGTTAACACAGCTAACCATGGACATCTGATCACCCATATACTGCCCAACCACACTCTTAATCATGTGATAGCGGCACATGGTGATGTGGGTGTCTGTTACTTTATGGTTGTGTGAGTGTGTATTATTATATGGTGACGTGTGTGTGTGTGTGTGCATGCGTGTGTTCCTCCCTGCAGAGGTGGAGGATGTGGTGAACTCTATCCTGTTCCTGCTCAGCGATAAGAGTTCTATGACCAACGGGGTCACTCTGCCTGTGGACGGAGGCTTCCTGGCCTGCTAACCTCTCACCTTCTCATTCTACCTCTTGATTGGCAGGCGTAGTCATATCCCATGTTTCCATGGTGTCCACTAGTACCTTTTTCATTCCTCTTCAATCACTGATTATATTCAGACTTGATTTTGTTTTATTTTACTGATTACATGTATCACCCAGAACAATAAAACCTTAATGAATCTTTGAGCTGCCCTGTTTGTTGTAATCTTAAAAAATTGAATTTATTTAGCAAATTGTGGTTGCAGATTGTGGGTGTGTGTTCGCTTATAGACAAAACTGCTGGATGAGACTAGTGTAATGCAGTATGATGACACAAACAAAAATGTGTTTACAAAACACAATACAGTACAACATTTGGTATTTATTATTAAACATATAAATATTTTGTACCACTGAAATGTGAAGTCATAAAAAATAAGATAAACAATCTTACAGTACATTACCAGTGCATTAAAGCGTTCTTCTTCATCAATAACGGACTAGAAGCACTTTTTCAGTAGTACAGTATCAATATTTTTTTCAGAATTCAAATGTGGAACAGTCAGTTTCTTAAGATATCTCATTTAAATATTATAACATGGATACTTTAAGCATGTCATATAACATGTTTGTATTAATGTCAAGGTTCATCAAAGTATTGGTGTCAGTATCTTCACAGATCCATTAACATTGAACCCAGCATAGAGGGGCTGAGTGAATGTGGTCTGGACTATGTGGCTGAGGGTCATAAGGTCAGAGATGCTGCCCAGTAGTCCAGGTACACGACTAGTCTGGAAGAGCAGAGAACACATGACAGTCTTTTTTTATTGTGGCGAAAGCTGCAGCCAGAGGGATGACACCTCAAATGCCAGGACTGATCATTCTCTCCAAAACAACACTCTTTACCCCATCCTCTCCTGCTGATGCCTTTATATAAACCCAGTCCCCGCTCCACTTTACCTACCAGTAGCAGGATCCAGACAGACCCTTTCTACACAACACCTGGGGGTAGTAGGTAAATCTGTCTGGATGGTCAGGATACCACTGGACTCTTCCTAGAGCTGGCCGCCCGGCCAAACTGAGCAATCGGGGGGAGAAGGGCCTTGGTCAGGGAGGTGACCAAGAACCCGATGGTCACTCTTACAGAGCTCCTCTGTGGAGATGGGAGAACCTTCCAGAAGGACAACCATCTCTGCAGCACTCCACCAATCAGGCCTTTATGGTCGAATGGCCAGACGGAAGTCACGCCTTAGTAAAAGGCACATGACAGCCCGCTTGGAGTTTGCCAAAAGGCACCTAAAGGACTCAGACAAGATTCTTTGGTCTGATGAAACCAAGATTGAACTCATTGGCCTGAATGCCAAGCGTCACGTCTGGAGGAAACCAGGCACCGCTCATCACCTGGCCAATAACATCACTACGGTGAAGCATGGTGGTGGCAGCATCATGCTGTGGGGATGTTTTTCAGCAGCAGGGTCTGGGAGGCTAGTCAGGATCGAGGGAAAGATGAACGGAGCAAAATACAGAGATTATATGGGATAATGCAGATTTTTTGTAATATCAGATAGACTGTAAACCCCACACTATAAAACATATTTTTTTCCTCAAATACTTCTAGTAAGTTGAACTTAAAGTCAATTAAAAGTCATTATTACTTACAATTATTGTGGTACTGACTCAAAACTAAATGAGAAGTCACATCAACACATTTATTTTGGTTATGATAACGAATTAACTTTTTTCCTAGCATGCTCTACTGCAGGTAGATTTTTGGGAATTGTTTTTAATATCTGTATTTTTGCATGTACATTGAGTGATTGATTGATTCATATTATGCTACACAAAAGGCGCTTTCACATATCTCTGTATGATCCAGGTCCTAGAGCGTTTGGTACCCTGATCCGCGCTATAAGGCATGTGTTAAACGCAAACAAACCCTGGCTTAAACCATTCCTGGATCTGCGTGTGTAGCGGGTCCAAGATCCAGGACCATGGTACCAGGTATTGTGACACAGCAGGGCGATTCGCGTGGAACTTTTTGCCCGTTGTAAACAAGCTAGCTTGCTAATGTCATGTAGAATGTGTGTCTCACAAAATCGCATCCAGAAACAGTTATTTTCAGATCTTGTGAAAGCAAAACACTGCAGGAAACCGAACTAGCGAAAAATTGACGAATGACGAATAACATATTTTTCCAAACTAATCCAATCATTTGGTTACATTTTTTGCACGCGTTACTGAAATGGTTGTTCCAGATTAAATGGTTTAGGTAGTCTCCTCACACTGTTCCTAACCCTGGCAGTCATTATGAATGCAGGTTGCAGGTGAATAAAAATGTCAATTTTTGGATATCCTAACTCTGGCTGGATTCCAATCAGAATTACACTTTGCAAGCGAGCATAATGTGATTTACAGGTAGGGTTGCACAATTCTGGTAACTTTCCCAGGTTTTCCAGAAATCCCTGTTGGAAGATTCCTGGAAATCCTTCAACCAGTATTTAAAAAAAATATTTGTGTAGCATAAGATTAATCAATCAATCACTCAATGTACATGCAAAAACACAGATATTAAAATCTATTCCAAAAAAATCCACCTGCAGTAGAGCATGCTGGGAAATAAGTTAATTTGTTATCATAACTTATTTGTTTTTGGTTGATGTGACTTCTCATTTAGTTTTGATTCAGTACCACATAAACATTTTAAGTAATAATGACTTTTCATTAACTTTGAGTTCAACTTACTAGAGGTATTTTAGTTAAAAATGCCTTGGGATTTACAGTGTATCTTGGAAATATCCCTACTTTGTAAAGATATCTTGGCAATTTCCACAGATCAGATATCTTCCAGTTGTTTTTTCAGCTCAGAGACGGATTTCTTTACATCCTCAAAGGAGATGTGTTGGTTGACAGTGATGCTGGGTAAGGCAGATACAGGAAGGACACAGAGAGACTGGAGACTCTACAGAGACAGATCAGGGAAAAGAGGATGGTTGAGAATTTTATTTTCTCCACTTTCAGCATTGACACCTGCTGCTGTGGACAGAGAGCCAGTGATGTTACCTGGAGGAAGTGGATGTGATCCTCTGTGTGTGAGAGCTGCTCCAGCTCAGCGTCTCTCCTCCTCAGCTCAGCCACCTCCTGCTCCAGTTGCTTCAGGAGTCCTTCAGCCCGACTCACTTCAGCCTTTTGCTGGGCTCTGATCAGCCCCTTCACCTCAGAGTGCCTTCTGTCAATGGAACGGATCAGCTCAGTGGCCCTGATGGCCTTTTCCCACAGTGGGGCTCAGTGGGATTGGAAAGTGGTCATGGGCTCCTCACTGGCTCAGGTTTTGCTGCACTTCATTTTAGGAGTAAGCCCTTTTACATATGACTATCTGTTAAGTGGACACGTAATGGTCAACAACAGTCACCTTGAGAGACTTCACAGCCTGTCTCACCTCCTGTATCTTTTTCTCCCTCATCTGGATTCTCTGTTTGGAATTCTGCTTTGTATCCCCCAGCTGCCTCTGTAGAGAAACACATCATTTTAGTTCATTTGTAGAACTGTTTTTATTGAAATTACTTCATGACTTTATGATAAGCACTTTATGCTGTAATTTTCATGTATGTGGTATATCTTCACATGTACATGTATGTGGTATATTTTCACATGTACATGTATGTGGTATATCTTCACAACTCTAAGCACAAAAATCTAAACAGAACATCAAAATTGCTCATGTTTCCAACCTCTAAGCACATTTTAAATTGATTGAGTACAACAAACAAATTCACAAAGTCACTTGTTCAATGGACCAAATCACTCTTTAATTTGGATGCATATTCAATCTAAGTATCTGCTTTTCAAAATTCACTTTACTTTTGATATGATTTTCTTGTCATTTGTTAACAATACAATTAATTAACTATCACCTAATCAAACTGCTCAAAACTGATAACCACTGAACCAAAAAATGTAGTGCCTAGTTAACGTATATTGTTTGATAACTGCTGAACACTGTAGATTTCTACATTTTTTATGTATCAATTTGACAGAAATTTATTTTGGAAGGTAAAACCAAATCCTATATGGATGTGGCTGTAAATACTGCATCATCATTCTCCATCAGCCAGTGTGCTTCAATAGGACGAAGTGGAAAGACTCACTCTATGTGCTACACAGCAAATATTCCAGTGTTACATAGTGTAGATTTTTCTGTGTAACATTTCTAGTGTGGATTCAGATGTTAAATTACATGGAAAACCGTACTTTAGTAGCTCAGAATGTGAAACTGAGGAGAGTGACATGGAGTTGAAGAGAGAGGATGACGGAGCTGCAAGGTGTGGAGGTTTATGTGCCTGTGAAGAGTGGGAAGAAAGGAAAGGATGACAAATATGATTCTGGCCCAGTGGGAGTGAGATTTTTGGAGAGAATGGATCCTTGCCTTCTGGCTGATCCATATGTCATGTCAGGTTGGGTGGAGAAGAGTTTGGGGACTGTTGAGTAGGTGAAAGTAACTTCAAGTGGACTCGTGATGATTTTTTTGTGTTTCTTCCATCCAGAGGGAGTGGGCTGTCCGCACCAAAGGAATGTGTAGTATCGGTGGAAAAAGTTGTGTGTTTTAACTGTAGGGGTACCCATGATGCTGGAGATCAGAAGTGTCCGGTGAGAGAAAGGCAGGTTGAGGTTGCCAGGATCAGAGTAGTACAGAAGGTGTTGAATGCTGAGGCAGTGAAGAGAGTAGTAGAGGAAGATCGGTCCAGTCCTGTGGCCTTCACCAAGTGAGATCCCTTGCGAATATGTTATCATAATAATGTTATTATTTAACACAATACAACACGTATTTCATAAGGCTTTATTTTGAGGCCCTAGTTTTACCCTTATACAGTGGCCTGAAACTCACGGTTTACAGGCCACATCAGGCCTGCAAGTCACATAATTCTTATTGAAATCCAGCCAGAGTCAGATTGACAGCGGGGTTTGGAAGACTAAGCTTCTTCTTATTATTATTATTATTACATTTATATTGGCGGATCGCAATCCGATAGGAATAACATGTGCTTCAGTAAGGTGGGTTTCTTAGTGTTCATAGCCATGGTTATCAACTGTACTGCAGAAATGGAACGTAAATCACAGAAAATAGATTTTGCGGTGGCTTTGGTGTACGAGATTTTACTGCAGAAGAGTTCCAAGGTGTGTTGAACGATAGTGCCCCATCCTCCCAGGCTGCCAGCCTGGTGTAGGATCATATAGGGCCAGGTAGTGGAATAGTGGTGAGGTTTTAATGGTTGTAGGGTTATAGTTGGTAGGGACATTTTTCTTTTCTTTTCCCCATCCTTTTTCCTGTCCCTTTTTCTGTCCTGCTATGAATAGAAAATGTAACGAGTACTTTTGGGTGTCAGCGAAAATGTATGAGTAAAAAGTACATTATTTTCTTTAGGAATGTAGTGAAGTAAACGTATAAGTTGTCAAATATAAATAGTAAAGTACAGAAACCCCAAAAAACTACTTAAGGAGTACTTAAGTATTTTTACTTAAGTACTTTAGACCACTGCTTTTTAGTCCAGGACGAGGCTTAATCTGTTTCCTGGAAACCGCCCCTTTCAGTGCACCATAAAGCAGAGGAGGCTTTGCAACACCAGGGTTGTGGGTTCGTTTCCCACAGGGGACCAGTATGAAAAAATTAAAATAAAAATAATAATTATGCACTCACTAACTGTAAGTCGCTCTGGATAAGAGCGTCTGCTAAATGACTCAAATGTAAAATGTAAAAATGAGGCTGGTGGGAGGAGCTATAGAAGGACAGGCTCATTGTAATGGCTGGAACGGAATTAATGGAACGGTATCAAACACATCCAACATATGGAAACCACGTGTTTGACTCCATTCCATTAATTCCATTACAACCATTACAATGAGCCTGTCCTCCTATAGCTCCTCCCACCAGCCTCCACTATCATACAGTAATGCTGCATTCAACCGCACCAGTGATCCATGCAGCCACATAAAAAAAAAAAACATGTTTTAAGTTTAAATGTTACAACAACCTAGCTATGTTTTTTTATTTTGAGTTATTAAATACTTTTTGATTAGGTTCACAGCATAATATGCACATCTGCAAGCATAGCAGCTAAGGCTGGACAAATATTAATTATCTCTTCTTTTGTTTTAATAATTTATGTACATAAAGGGACATATTTTTTTAAATAAAACAATGGCCAGTTTGCGTCTCAGTTGTATGCACGCTTTTTAAAAACAAACATAATAGGCTATGTCTGGCCAACAAATTCTTTGTTTTTTCAATATGGTCCTTGCCTGATTGAGTTTGACACCCCTGCTTTACACCATACAGTGTTAAAACAAAACCCCAAAATTATTTACTGTAACACTACAGGTGTTCATTTCTTACACTGAGAAAGTGTAACAGCGTCAGCACTAAGTAAAGGGAGTCCAGTTTACTCTAAATCAAGTGTTATGTTTGACACTGTAGGTGTTGCGTATTACTCTACAGTAGAGCTATGGAAACAAACACCACAATTTGAACACTTTAAGAGTAAAATGGGGAACCCTGCAACAGAGTTAAATCTTTAACACTTTCAAAAGTGTTATTTATCACCAGCATAGTGGGACTCATATGTTCACTGAAAATAGTGTATATTTTACACTTTCAGAGTTAAATGACAAGTCACATAGAAAAGGTGATCTTTTACAATGTTGCATTGGGCAGAAATGGCATACAACACCGTGCAACATTTTTACAGTAGCCAACAGCTTTACAATACCCTATTTCTGATGGTTTGTCCGACATATGTTCTGCATAAGGATAATTAAATTGTAAGACTGACATATTTCTCAACATGCTCACAACCTGCCAATGGATTCAAATTATTTAAAAAACGTTTAAATCAAATACTGTATGGAAAATTATATCTACCCTCTACTATTATTTCTAACCATCACTTTTAAAAAACTGTTTTGAAATTTATATCTTGTATTTTTTGGTATCGGATTAAATGGTTAAAATGACTAAATGGGGAGCCTATGATTATCTGTTGTATTGGTGATTAAACTAAACGTTCTTATGGTATTTTACGGAAAAAGTAGATTTTGCATGAATGACTCAAGGGTGAAAGATGTGTGAAACCCCAATTAATGCAAAATCAAAGGTTCTGAACATAAGATAGGGGGCATTATAAATGTTATCAGTTTAGTGTTTTGAAAATATACCACTTACATTGGGAAAATGTGCCAAAGTTATTGAAAAAACCCGTAACTGAAAGCACTTCAGTAACAATGTGATGATTCACCTCTTTCTTATCTCTCTACCGCCAGAATAGATGTCATTATCTTAATTATCTTATCCATTGTTCTTTTTTTTGCCATACAGAAAGTGACTACTAGTTTCAAAATGTTCACAGTAATAATCTGAATAAGCAGCAACAGTAATAATGAGTTCTGTCCTTACCTGTCTCTCAGTCCTTTCTGATTCAGCTGAGACAGTATCATGACCTTTATGTTCACCCATCGTACACAGATAACAGATAAACTGCTGATCGTTGCGGCAGTAAATATCCAGCAGTTCGTCATGACGAGAGCAGATCTTCTGTAGTTGCTTGGACCAGCTTGTGCTTCTTAAAGGCAAGAGATTCATAGTGAGGCTGGAGGTGAGTCTCACAGAAAGAAGCCAGACACACCAGACAAGACTTGACAGCTTTGAGTTTTATCCGACTACAGTTGTCACATGCCGCATCTCCAGGTCCAGCGAAATAGTGAGCAGGAGGAGCAGCTTGGACTCCTGTCTTCTTCAGATTCTCCACCAATTCAGCCAGTAGTGTTTCTGTTCAGAACAGGCCTAGGGATTAAGGTATGTCTGCACTGGGGGCAGCTGTAGACACCCTTATGATCGTCCTGGTCAAAGCAGTCCTTAATTTCGGCCCATACAGTAGCTGTGTCCACAAGGAATAGCCACCTGATCCTTCAGCAGATCGGACAACTAATGGAATCCACAGATGTTGCCATGTTGGAGCTGACACTAACAGACTGAGCTGCAGAGTATAAGAGATCCGTATTGTTTCTCTAGAAGTATTGATGATTCTAAGTGGGAAAATGTACTGGTTGAGTATGTTTACTCTGTACCTTTACAAGGTGTGGTGTTGGACCAAGGCCAGGAGGAGAGCCGCTGTGATTGTGATTGGACAACCAATGGATGTGATAGGGGAAGAGTTTAGTATTTGGACTGGAGTCCTTCCTCCATTAATCAGAATCAGAAAATTGTAAGAATGCAAAATAACCAGACTTGAACTTCATCTTGACAGAAAGCAATCCTATTGGTCTGGGACCAGGAGATGGGATTTCTTACAGAAGATGAAAACCCACACACACATTGCAAAGAATGATAAAATCATTTAGACACACACTAGTACACTTCAGGACATTTGACATAAAAACTTGTTACATATACATTTGTATTTATTATACAAAATTGAAAGATTTCACGACACTGACATGTGAAGTCATAAAAAATAAGACAAACAATTAAACCATTATACAAGTCATCTTACAGTACATTGCCAGTGCATTAAAAAAAAGCTTTCTTTTTAATAACAACGGGCTCGAATCACCAGTTCATATCCATGCAGTAGTAGTTTTAGTAGCTTTTCAGAATTCTGATCTACAGTATTAAGGAATAGGATGAAGTTACCCCTAGACACTGATCTAAGACCAGTTTTGCATTGAGGAATGGTAAACTGATCCTAGATCTGTGCCTGAGGAAAACTTCTACCCAAAGCCAGTATTGACACCTTGGACAGGCTCAGAGACACATTATTCAACCACACAGTTGCTATGCCAACCAAAAACGTCATGATGGAGAAGACTGCAGTTCTGTATCTCACCACCAGAGTGGGACATACAGTTATACTGCAGGTCTACAACAACCACAGAAATGCACTGGTTAATTAATTATATTTTTTTGCAATATGATACCTCTAGATTCAAAGTGAGTTACTATTATCCTTTTATTTTGAATTGTCTGGAATTAAAAAGAAAAATATTCAGGTACATAATAAATAGATATATCCATAATGCATTCCTCCTCAAAGTTTTTTTTTAATGATTATTTTTGACATTACTAGACTTAGTTTGGGTAACACATAAAACAGACCACGCTTGTGATCATCCATTTCCCTTTTCTTTTTTGAGTCGACAGTTTGTTGCAGAGTCTTGTGTATCACTACAATACAATATGAAATAGTACCAAAAACTTGACAATGCTTGAAACTTGACTCTCTCACACATACAGTGACATGCATGCAAGCACACACACACACACACACACACACACCAATGCAAATTAACATATACAAAGGACGTTGGGAAAATGAAGACAGATTGTTTAGACCCATGCAAGCACCTCCATCAGAGGCATTACTCAGGCAATACAGGCTGTTTTGAGTCCTGTATCAATTCAAGCAAACAAGACTGAGAGGGAGGAGGGTTGTATGAGTGAGAGTAGACACTTTAACTGACCACAGAGGAGTGCTTTCCTCTGTGTAAAACAAACAAATGGCAACTTGACAACGCATATCTTTACACCTGATCAAATCATTTTCCTACTGTAAAAAAAAAAAAGTCCAGTAATTCTCTTTCCATTAGGGCCGAATCCTAACTTAAGATCAAATATTCCATAGACATGAATGTGTTATTTACACAAACATCAGTTAAATTGCCATTACGTGGTGTCTCAAGTCAGGATTCGTCCCGAAGAGAAGTAGTGGTCATTATGGTGATGTTTTAGTAGTACCAGACGTATCGTCATGTCGATGGCCGCCATGTTGGCTGTTTCTCCTGGACCAATGAGAGCCCTCAGAACACGGTGCACCTCTTGCCCCTCTTCTTGACGGGCGGGGGGCAGAGCACGGCGCGGATGGCCTCGTCAAACACAGTCTTCAACCCTCGCTGGGTCAGGGCCGAGCACTCCAGGTACTTCACAGCACCTAACCACCACACACACACAAACAACAACAACACCTTTATTACACATCTATAAACAATAGAAGAAGAAAAAACATCTGACTCTGGGTAAGTAGATAAAGGGCTTAATTGACAAACTCGCTTTATCCCAGACTCCGCAATATGACATCATCTCACACAGCGGGTCACTTCCTGCTTAGAATAAAACCCTGTGAAAGTAACCGCGCCTTGCGCTTTACTTCTGTATCATTACATTTACATTTTACATTTACATTTTAGTCATTTAGCAGACGCTCTTATCCAGAGCGACTTACAGTTAGTGAATATTTTTTTTTTTATACTGGCCCCCCGTGGGAACCAGGATCTCTAGTGGCACAGTTAGCACTGCGATGCAGTGCCTTAGACCACTGCGCCACTCAGGAGTACGGAAATAGCATACCGTATAATATAGACATTTTACATTTACGTCATTTGGCAGACGCTCTTATCCAGAGCGATTTACAGTTAGTGAGTGCATTCATTTTTTTCTTCTTCTTCATACTGGCCCCCCGTGGGAATCGAACCCACAACCCTGGGGTGGCAAGCGCCATGCTCTACCAACTGAGCTACACGGGGCTACTGAGAAGATATATCATGTCCCCTAATCTTTTGAATGGGCTTCACAATTATATCATCAAATTCGTGAAAACACGGTCATTTAAGATATATACATAAAATTATATTTGTGTTTGTTGATTAATTTACTTCTACTATTATGTTTTTGCCCTGAAGACCATTCAAAAATCCTACAAAAGTTCAAAAACTACAAGGCTCCTTCCTGGAAAACTACAACAGAATCCAAATTTGCCAAGACCACCACCATTGGCTCTTCCCAATGTGGGGATGGGCAGACACCCACACCCACACAGACTGACCTATCTCCCTTGCCATGGCCAGGCCCTGGGGGTAGGTGATGGGGGACAGCTTCTTGTCCCTCAGCCTCTCGATGGTGTCCTTGTCATCTCTTAGATCCAGCTTGGTGCCCACCAGGATAATAGGGGTGTTGGGGCAGTGGTGTCTCACTTCAGGGTACCACTGAGACACAGAGGGTAAAGGTCATTAGGTCAAAGATGGAGAGCAAGGCTGGGTGGAACAGAGCTATTGAAATAAAACCTCTAATCTAGTCTGTAGGGCCATATATGGATTATAGGACTATTATGGCTAGAGTAGAGCAGAATATTAGAATAAAATAGAACACAATTAGACACTGCTGAAAAAAATAGAGAGAGAGAGTTTGACACACAGAAAGGTGTGTGATGTCATCTAAGAGCATTGTAATGCTTTTGGGTTGAAACCACAATGGCCAAACTCTCTCTCTCTATACAGGACTGTAGCTATAGAACATGAACCAGGGAGAGCTATAGATGTGCTTCTTTAGGTCAGGCTCGGCAGGTCCCCTGTTCCTGTGTCTGTGAGCAGGAAGGTTCAGTACTGACCTTAGCTCGGACGTTCTCAAAGGAGGCCGGGCTGACCAGGGAGAAGCATATCAAGAACACATCCTGGGGAGAACCATAGAGAGACAGACCTTAGGGTGAAACCATTGAGATCAACCAACCACGGAATCACCTGACTCCACATGGGACAGACTGGAAGAAAAGCTCTGCTGCGGAATAGTAGATTGCAAATCAATCCTTCACAGAAAGGTAATGGGTTGGTGTTGTGTGTGTGTGTGTGTGTGTTACCGTCTGTGGATAGGACAGTGGTCTCAGTCTGTCGTAGTCTTCCTGTCCTGCTGTATCCCATAGACCCAGATTCACTGGTTTCCCATCTACCATCACATTGGCAGAGTAGTTATCAAAGCTGCATAGAGAGATAGGGAAAATCTCTTTATATCTGGATGCAAGCTCTATGTAAAGTATACTTGTCAGAAATACAAACACTACATAGAGGCAAGCAGACTTAGTCTCACTCACTCACCCACATCCATGTGTGTGTGTGTTGTGGTACTCACACAGTGGGTATGTACTCTCCGGGGAAGGCATTGGTGGTGTAGCTGATCAGCAGACAGGTCTTACCCACGGCCCTGAGAGAGAGAGAGAGAGGAGAGAGAGAGAGAGAGAGAGAAGAGAGAGCGAGAAGAGAGAGAGAGAGAGAGAGAGAGAGAGAGAGAGAGAGAGAGAGAGAGAGAGAGAGCAGGAGAAGAGAGAGAGAGAGAGAGAGAGAAGAGAGATAGAGAGAGAATAGATAGCGAGAGAGAGAGAGAGAGAGACTCGGTTCTTACTCACTGCTATAGAAAAACACAAGCCTAATAACGAGACACAAAAAAAAAGCTGCTGAGGTAGGTAGGCTGATACTCAGTATGTGTGGTTCTGCCTTTCTCTCTCTTTCAGTTTAAGTGTCACACAGACACTGGCCTACATTTACTTTGCCTGGGGGACTATCGACCACCCTCATGCTCTACTGCCCCCATCCCTGTTATCGACAAACACACAATACAGGAAGGGTTGGTGACAGTGGTGTGTGTGTCTATGATTCTGTGTATCCCGTATGTCAAAATGATATGAACAGATTGATGGTGGCATGGCAGGGTAGGGGGTGAATGGTGTGCGTTAGAATGTGTGTGTGTGTGAGAACTGGGAAAGAGGGGAAAAGGAGGGAGGGGTAATGAAAAATAGTTTTTTTGTGAGCGCAGGCCACTAAAAGTCTCTTGGTTGCTCTGGGAATGACAGATTAGCAGATGCAATATTAACACATTATGCTAATGCACTGATGTAATTAATTGATTAATGACCCCTAGTCATCAGAAATCCTCCAAAAGGGATTTGGCATTAGTAGGGCACTGTAGATATCAACATTTAGCCTAGGCTTAGGGGAGTACAGACAAACTCAGATAGATATAGGATCAATTATTTCTATAGTAAAATAACTACATTGGTCTACTATACAATTTGCTGTTTTTCATACCAACCCCCAAATACTGTAAATGCATTTATTATGCGTGGTAGTTAATTATGGATCGTGCATGAAGGCACGTCAAAACTATAACTGTATAGATTCCTTATATTATCACACATGGGGGAAAAAACTGTTGTAAATTCAGATTCTTATAAAACAACGCCTAGAGATTCCTTAGCCCGCATCGTCACGGATGAAGCATAATTCCGACGGCCTACGAGGCGAGTAGGTGTTTCCCATAGCATCGCTACAGCCTGGGCGTTTTCTCAGCGTAAAAATACACAACTCTACATTTTACACATCCCACACCCCGACGTCCTGCATGATATTACAAACATTCCAGAAATGAACGGAATTAAAATCGTTGTTTTTTTTATAACCTAGCCGTGCATTTCCAAGCGAATGCTTAGAAAGAAGACTTCCCATATAACGGAGAGCCCCAGCCCCTTTTCCTACACACTGCATCTCCCATCCATGATCGCATCACTGATCACACACACAGAAAGGATAAGAAAATTATCTCTACGTTTCTCAATGAGATTCTTACCCGTCGCCGACCACCACGCATTTAATTGCTTGCATTTGCGAAGGAGCAGGCGGTGTCACAAAGCAGAAGTGTTTTTTATATTTCACAATGAAAGCTAGCTGTGATTTGGATGAGAAGCGGGCCAGTCCGCTCAGCTTTCGAGCCGCAGTGAAAGGGGTCGATGAAGAGTGGCGCCAGAAAACAACGGAAAAGGCCGAGCGTATTTAAAGGGCCAGTGAGCATCCGAACTGTATTTACCCTTTCTCTTACTATTTTTTTGTATCCCCAATTAGCCGCTGCCTTCCTGGGGTCCAACAGGAAACAAAACACAACAAATAAAATACATAATACAATACATAATGCAAAGCAAAATGCAGTACAAAATATATTACAATGTCTGTGTTTTTATCTGGTTTTTGAATCTGATTTTATTGCTAGCTTGAGTTACCTGCGGTGGCATCGAGTTTCATGTACTCATGGCTCTATTTAATACTGTGCGTTTCCCAGCCTCTGTTCTGGACCTGGGGACTGTGAAGAGACCTCTGGCTGCATGTCTTGTGTAGTACCGATGAGTGTCCGAACTGTGTGCCAACTGCTTGAATAGACTATCAACACCTAGCACAAAGACCAATAGTGATGCAGTCAATCTCTCCTCAACTTTGAGCAAGGAGAGATTGACATGCATACAAATGACATTCACCCTCTGTATACATCTAAGTGCAATATGTGCTGCTCTGTTCTAGACGAACTGGAATTTTCCTATGTCCTTCTTTGTCGCACAGGACCACACAACTGGGCAGTAGTCCAGGTGCGACAAAACTAGGTTCTGTAGGACCTGCCTGATTGATTTAGATGTTTTTCAGCAATAGGTTATGATCAATGATATATGTGGCACCGTGAGGCATGGGCATAGGTGTGGCTGAAGGATTCCCAGTGCAGCACCATGGAAAGAGCCACCCACCTCAGTACAGGAGACAGGTGCGCTCACTTCAGCACCATGGACAGCGGCACTGGCTGCAGCACAGTTGTAAGCATTACATTTACATTTTAGTCATTTTAGCAGACGCTCTTATCCAGTTAGTGAGTGCATACATTATTTTTATTTATTTATTTCATACTGCAGCACTCAGTTCAGCACTGTGGAAGGCTGCACTAACTTCAGCACCAGGCCAGCCGAAGACAGCACCACAGCTCTGCTCACTCAACACACCTGTGCAGGATTACTATAATCAGCACACCTGTAAGGCATTCCCTAATCAACTGACTGGCACAAGAGTACAGGCTGGACCTCACTCAAGTGGAGCAGTTAGGAAGACACAGAGTGCCTACTCTCCCACTTACACTGTGTTTCTCGCTCCTTCAGAAGGAGAGTTACGAACTCTGCCAGTGAGGCCACACCGCCCCAAGAGACTACATGTGGCCGCCATCTTTAACCACCCTCTTGCCTGAATGGCTTGTAGACTAGAATGCCAGAGACACTAAAAGCTGAAGTAAAAGCATCTGAAACATGAACTATTTTGTCGTGCGTTTACGCATTGCCCGCTTGTGTAGTCAGGCACACCCCACTCTTCCTGACAATATCAAAAGCTGCACTTTTAAGTAGTTTGTCTTTTCTCCAATGTTCGACAACAACCATTGGTTAAAAATAGGGAATCTTGTTGATTTATGACTTAACAATTTAGCCTAAACTTAACTAAAACCAACTTTTTATTGATTAAAAAAACACAGTATCAATCCCAAAACTGCAGTGCAAAAACCATAAAAACACACATTGAAAAATATACATCACACATAGGGCTGTTGTGGTGACCATATTACTGCCACACCGGCAGTCACGAGTCATGACCGCAGTAAAATCCCATGTGACCGTTTAGACATGGTAATCTCCTTTTATGCACTCTGGACATGCTTTGGTAGTACTCAATTTGCTAACGACCATCAGGTCCTAATGACCTGGTACTCAGGGCTCTATTTTCCCTCTAACCACTCTGACATCAATGCAAATGCAGGCGAAAAACACATCAAACACAAACAGTAGGCCTATAGTACTTTTAAAACTCACCTCACTGTGATGATCAATTTGAAGAAAGAAGTTCAACAGCTGGTTGAAACAGTGTAAGTGGTTGTTGTGGAGGTTGTTTCAAAGCCTAACACAACGAAATGGACAGTGCTTTCTAAGGTGATGATTCATTCAACACCCATACACATTTTAGAGCTTATGCATATGCATAGGCTTATGAGCCTAAGCCCGAGAAAAGAAACCCGAATTAAAATTAGGAGTGTGCCATTATACAATACATAGCCTACCGCATTTTACGCATGGCAGAAAAACATAAAACAAAACTGATTTAAGGTGTTTTTGGTACATAATTAGTCTAGCCTATACTCCAAAATTAAACAAATTCGAGTAATCGCATTTGAGTGTGGACTGTATTATTATGCATACTGGATGGACTGGTTGCCTTATGCTACGTTCCCAAATGTCTATCCATGAGTCTCGGAGAGAATTTATATCCTAGGCGATGCTGTTGGATCATTGATTGTGCATGGCGGCTTAGTGTTATCCTACAATTAGTGAATTTGTATTTGACTTTGAATAACCTAGCAATAGGGCACTTTTAATATTTTCATAATTAATTGGGTGACACATAACCTTTAGCTATACATAATATCTTACCACCATGCTCCTCTGTCCTTTACTCCTTTCTCGAGCACGCAGACGGACTATCAACAGTTTAGTGAAATATGTTTCGTTGCGAAAACATGTTATTATCGATGTTCCAGAACAGATTTCACTTGGTTTCCCAAATTAAGCACTGGGTAGATGCAGGAACCAAGTTGCAGAGCCCATGACATACATCGTTTGGGCAGAATATCACCAAACAGGGCACCGAGAGCTTGCTTCTCAAACAGTGGTTGATGCATGGAGTGAAATAAGTGTTCTTAAATTTATTTCTCAGCTGCTCATATTAAGCATATTCTCTGCTATAAAACCGAAGTAGCCTACAAAACTGGAAAGCACGTGGCCTCTATTCGCTATTCGAGTGCATAAAGATAACGTCTTTTCCCCCCTGCTCCTGCCCATTTGATATTGGGCCATTCTAAATCAATTCAAATTTTTACATATTAGTAAAGACATGTTTCAAAATATCACTTTTACGCTCAACATAGCCACTTCATATGCGCAGTCGCTCTGTAATGGGAAAAATATCCTTTCTATTTTATTCTGCTAAATTCAATTATATTCTTCTTACTATAAAATCATATAAAATAATGGCACAGGACTTATAAGCATATCTTGTTAGCTAAATGAACAAGCCTACAGTCTATGGCATGGAGCATAGCCAGATAACATAGCCTACAGTAGGCCAACATATTCTGTTCTTCTGAAATACATTTTCTTCATATCATGTTTCTTTAGACCTGACTAAAATAAATTATGGATTTATTCTGATGGTGTATATTAAATGGACTTATTAGACTTTTTTTTAAATGTAGATGTTCCAAAGGCGTGCGCATCAGCGACTTGTAGGCTGAGTGTAGGCCTGGAGATGCTAAATGTGTTTATGTTAATTATGGTCAATTACCGGTGGGACCGGCAGGCTTTTACATTTTAGTAATTTAGCAGACGCTCTTACAGGAGCAATTAGGGTTAAGTGCCTTGCTCAAGGGCACATCGACAGATTTTTCGCCTATTCGGCTCGGGGATCAGAACCAGCTACCTTTTGGTTACTGGCACAACGCTCTTAACCACTAAGCTACCTGCCGCCCCAGCTACCTGCATGACAATAACCGTCTGACAAAATGTTATGACTGCCCCAGCCCATTCAATTTCACTTGATTTGCACAATCATAAAAGCTTCAAAGATTGTGATACAGTGAGGGGAAAAAAGTATTTGATCCCCTGCTGATTTTGCAGGTTTGCCCACTGACAAAGAAATGATCAGTCTATAATTTTAATGGTAGGTTTATTTGAACAGTGAGAGACAAAATAACAACAACAAAAATCCAGAAAAACACATGTCAAAAATGTTATAAATTGATTTGCATTTTAATGAGGGAAATAAGTATTTGACCCCCTCTCAATCAGAAAGATTTCTGGTTACCAGGTGTCTTTTTTACAGGTAACGAGCTGAGATTGGGAGCACACTCTTAAAGGGAGTGCTCCTAATCTCAGTTTCTTACCTGTATAAAAGACACCTGTCCACAGAAGCAATCAATCAATCAGATTCCAAACTCTCCACCATGGCCAAGACCAAAGAGCTCTCCAAGGATGTCAGGGACAAGATTGTAGACCTACACAAGGCTGGAATGGGCTACAAGACCATCGCCAAGCAGCTTGGTGAGAAGGTGACAACAGTTGGTGCGATTATTCGCAAATGGAAGAAACACAAAATAACTGCCAATCTTCCTCGGCCTGGGGCTCCATGCAAGATCTCACCTCGTGGAGTTGGAATGATCATGAGAACGGTGAGGAATCAGCCCAGAACTACACGGGAGGATCTTGTCAATGATCTCAAGGCAGCTGGGACCATAGTCACCAAGAAAACAATTGGTAACACACTACGCCGTGAAGGACTGAAATTCTGCAGCGCCCGCAAGGTCCCCCTGCTCAAGAAAGCACATATAAAGGGCTGTTTGAAGTTTGCCAATGAACATCTGAATGATTCAGAGGAGAACTGGGTGAAAGTGTTGTGGTCAGATGAGACCAAAATCGAGCTCTTTGGCATCAACTCAACTCGCCGTGTTTGGAGGAGGAGGAATGCTGCCTATGACCCCAAGAACACCATCCCCACCGTCAAACATGGAGGTGGAAACATTATGCTTTGGGGGTGTTTTTCTGCTAAGGGGACAGGACAACTTCACCGCATCAAAGGGACGATGGATGGGGCCATGTACCGTCAAATCTTGGGTGAGAACCTCCTTCCCTCAGCCAGGGCATTGAAAATGGGTCGTGGGTGGGTATTCCAGCATGACAATGACCCAAAACACACGGCCAAGGCAACAAAGGAGTGGCTCAAGAAGAAGCACATTAAGGTCCTGGAGTGGCCTAGCCAGTCTCCAGACCTTAATCACATAGAAAATCTGTGGAGGGAGCTGAAGGTTCGAGTTGCCAAACGTCAGCCTCGAATCCTTAATGACTTGGAGAAGATCTGCAAAGAGGAGTGGAACAAAATCCCCCCTGAGATGTGTGCAAACCTGGTGGCCAACTACAAGAAACGTCTGACCTCTGTGATTGCCAACAAGGGTTTTGCCACCAAGTACTAAGTCATGTTTTGCAGAGGGGTCAAATACTTATTTCCCTCATTAAAATGCAAATCAATTGATAACATTTTTGACATGCATTTTTCTGGATTTTTGTTTTGTTATTCTGTCTCTCACTGTTCAAATAAACCTACCATTAAAATTATAGACTGATCATGTCTTTGTCAGTGGGCAAACGTACAAAATCAGCAGGGGATCAGCAGGGGATCAAATACTTTTTTCCCTCACTGTATGTACTCACTGTCAGTCATTGATATCGTTGATTACATCTTAAAACCTGGTGTAAGTAGCTTGTGAACACAACAGTTTATTACTATCCCTGACTGGGACTGAGTCTGAGAGAAACTACACCCAAAGCTGCGGATGTCTAGAGGTGAATATCTGTGCTGTTGACATTTTGTGATGGAGTGGTTTGGAAGGACCGAAGGGGAGAGGGGGAAAGACAGGAGAGGAACACATGGAACATGGGTGGGATAGAAAGGTTTTGCTCACTTTAGTGTCCCACGTTTGTGAGGGTGTATGGGCACAAGGTTGTAGGGGTAAATGGGACAGGGGTCAGAGGTTATTTCTTGGGACTGCAGAACCCCAGTGTTGACCCCTGTCCTTAGTCCCTACATGAGGATGGGAAGGGTCAAAGGTTAGATGTCAGAGGTCATTTCTTAGGACTGTAGTGCAGCGGTGACCCCTGTACGTATGCAAGTATAGCGTTCTGGAGGAAGCTAGCTCTCTGGGCCTCGTCTTCTCTCATCCTCTGGATCTCTGCCTCTCTCAGTCTCAGCTTCTCAAACAGAGATGAGATCTCACTCTCCTTGTCCAGGATGGCCTCTCTGTGGTTACTGGCCAGCACTGTGGTAGACAACACACAAAGACAGAACAAATACTGGTTGTTTCAAGTCTGTCAACAAATTATGTCAACTGAGTCAAACCCTATTGAGAAATCAAATGTGTGGTATTGTAAAACAGAGAGGGAGGAGAGGTGAGAGGCGAGGAAGAAAGGGTGAGATGGGGCTTATGTAGAGAAGAGGACAGAGGTAGGATGAAGAGAACAAACGGGAGGGAGAGAGAGTCTGACAGGGAGAGAGGGAAAGGAGGAGAGTGTGCGTACCTTTCATCTCTCTCTCCAGAGCAGCTATCTTCTCTTTCAGTCCTCCCTGTGCGGTCCTCTCAGCCTGCAGGTGTCCTATCTGCTCCTGTAGCTCCACCCTGACCCGACTCACCTCCGCAACCTTCTCCTGGTCTTTACCAGACAACTCCTGGAGGGGGGAGAGGACAAATTCTCTATATTAATTACACCAAAGAGCAAATATTCCCATCCTAGTAAACACACAACCACCACACAACGTTGTCTCTGCTCTTACTCATATGAACATCATTCAGTGCTGAGAATTCACCAACCTGATTATGTCAATCAGTAAAAATCAGTTATTAGCATCAAATTGTCCCAGACAAATGTAACACAACTACACTGTACTTGATCTAGGTGTTGTTTCAGTGTGTATAGTTGGTCATTTTGTGCCAGTGGTCTCTCTGACGCATTCACAATCTGACCTGTTGCAGCTCCTCTATCCTGCGTCGTAGTCCGTCTGTCTCCATGCTCTGCTGTCCACTGCGAGCCTGCAGCTCAGCTATGGTCTGTTTCTGCTGGGAGCAGTGGCTCTGGGACTCATCACGGGACTGACGCAACCCACGCAGCTTCTCCTCTAACCCACTCACACGCTGCTGCTGCTCAGACAGAGGAGTGGAGAGAGAAGAAAGAGTTGAATCATCACATTGTTACTGCAATACTCAGGCACACACTGATACACACAGACCCGGACAAACAAACACAGTTTCTAACCTATTACATACAGTAGTTCTAGAACAGGTGTATAACATACCTCCTCCAGGCGAACCTGTGCCCGCACTTTTCCCAGTTCCTCCTCTGCCTGGGCTCTCTCTGTAACACAGGCTGCCTTGGCCCTGCTCAGCTCCTACAAGACAAAACACACAGTAACACAGGCTGCCTTGGCCCTGCTCAACTCCTACAAGACGAAACACACAGTAACACAGGCTGCCTTGGCCCTGCTCAACTCCTACAAGACGAAACACACAGTAACACAGGCTGCCTTGGCCCTGCTCAACTCCTACAAGACGAAACACACAGTAACACAGGCTGCCTTGGCCCTGCTCAACTCCTACAAGACAGTTCAGGACAGGGAGACACAGTTACACCTCCATACTGTCATCTATAGGGATCTCATGTCACATAATGATAATTGGAGTTTAGTTGTGATTTACTGAAGACAATACATTATCAAAAATATCCAATATAAAGAGCTGACCTCCTCCAGCTGTATCCGCTGTCCCTCCAGTTTGAGGATCCGGTCCTGTAGAGCCCTTTCACTCTCCTCAAGGTGACGATTCACATGGTCCACCTACATGCACACACACACACCCACAATGAACACTCACTAGAGGGAGAAAGATAGAGTCTGTTGTATAATTAGTGAGAGACATTGTCAGACAGCAGGTTGATGTCTTCTCTACCTCTTTCTGTCGAAGGTTATCCATGTCCTCCAGAGACTGTTTAGATCTCTTCTTCTCTATCTCCAAACGCTCTGAGGGGGAGAGAAGAGGTTGAGTATACTCCTGTGTGTGTGTGTGTGTGTGTGTGTGTTTGTGTGTGTACCTTCTGCCTGTGCTAGCCGTAGCTTTAGCTCTGCTGTGCTGTTGGTGAGATCCTGCTTCAGCTCAAAGATCTGGTCCTGTTGAGACTTACACCTGCTCTCCATCTTCTCCAACTAAGACACACACAGGTAAAGAGAAACTGACTCAGTAAACAGCTTAGGTACTGCATCAAAAACACTAACATTATATTCATGCGCGCACACACACACTCACACTCACACACACACACACACACACACACACACCTTATTCTTGAGCTGTATGTTGGTCTCTGACATACTGTTAATCTCTCTGAGGAGCTTCCCCTCCCTCAGAACACTGTCCTGCAGAACCAAACACACACACCACAATGTTAAGCTCACATTCATCTTAACCAGACCATCTGTACATCCGTCTTGCCGTCCCCTCCCTCCCCCCCGCCTCACTCCCTAGTACCTCCCCTCCATTCATACCTCTTGTTCTTTCTTCCTCTCCCTGCTCTGTCGTTCTCTCTGCTCGTCTTTCTCAGTCTTCACTCTGGTCAGCTGCTCTCCCAGGTTGTGGTTCTTCTGTTCCGACATGGCCAGTGCTGCCTCCGTCATCTGGAGTCTAGACACACAGAGAATGGTCAGGTGTGTGTCTGTGAGAGTGCGTGTGTGTGCGTGCGTGTGTGTCTATGTGCCTGAAACATCTGTTATGACAGTGTTATGTAGGCCTTATTACAGACGGCTCAAGTGAACTGTTACCATACGTTCCATTTATACAATATCTACAGTTGATGTCGGAAGTTTACATACACCTTAGCCAAATACATTTCAACTCAGTTTTTCACAATTCCTGACATATAATCCTAGTAAAAATTCCCTGTCTTAGGTCAGTTAGGATCACCACTTTATTTTAAGAATTTGAAATGTCAGAATAATAGTAGAGATAATTATTTATTTCAGCTTTTATTTCTTTCATCACATTACACTCAATTAGTATTTGGTAGCATTGCATTTAAATTGTTTAACTTGGGTCAAACGTTTCAGGTAGCCTTCTACAAGCTTCCCACAATAAGATGGGTGAATTCCTCCTGACAGAGCTGGTGTAACTGAGTCAGGTTTGTAGGCCTCCTTGCTCGCACACACCTTTTCAGTTCTGCCCACAAATGTTCTATAGGATTGAGGTCAGGGCTTTGTGATGGCCACTCCAATACCTTGACTTTGTTGTCCTTAAGCCATTTTGCCACAACTTTGGAAGTATGCTTGGGGTCATTGTCCATTTGGAAGACCCATTTGCGACCAAGCTTTAACTTCCTGACTGATGTCTTGAGATGTTGCTTCAATATATCCACATAATTTTCCTTCGTGCAGCAAAGCACCCCCACAGCATGATGCTGCCGCCCCCATGCTTCACGGTTTGGATGGTGTTCTTCGGCTTGCAAGCGACCCCCTTTTTCCTCCAAACATAACGATGGACATAATGGTCAAACAGTTATTTTTTTGTTTCATCAGACCAGAGGACATTTCTCCAAAAAGTACAATCTTTGTCCCCATGTGTAGTTGCAAACCGTAGTCTGGCTTTTTTATGGCAGTTTTGGAGCATTGGCTTCTTCCTTGCTGAGTGGCCTTTCAGGTTATGTCGATATACCGGTTTCCTCCAGCATCTTCACAATGTCCTTTGCTGTTGTTCTGGGATTGATTTGCACTTTCCGCACCAAAGTACGTTAATCTCTAGGAGACAGAACGCGTCTCCTTCCTGAGTGGTATGACGGCTGTGTGGTCCCATGTTGTTTATACTTGCGTACAATTGTTTGTACAGATGAACGTGGCACCTTCAGGCGTTTGGAAATTGCTCCCAAGGATGAACCAGACTTGTGGAGGTCTACAATTTTCTGAGGTCTTAGCTGATTTATTTTGATTTTCCCATGATGTCAAGCAAAGAGGCACTGAGTTTGAAGGTAGGCCTTGAAATATATCCACAGGTACACCTCCAATTGACTCAAATGATGTCAATTAGCCTATCAGAAGCTTCTAAAGCCATGACATCATTTTCTGGAATTTTCCAAGCTGTTTAAAGGCACAGTCAACTTAGTGTATGTAAACTTCTGACCCACTGGAATTGTGATACCGTGAATTATAAAGTGAAATAATCTGTCTGTAAACAATTGTTGGAAAAATTACTTGTGTCATGCACAAAGTAGATGTCCTAACCGACTTGCCAAAACTATAGTTTGTTAACAAGAAATTTGTGGAGTGGTTGAAAAACAAGTTTTAATGACTCCAACCTAAGTGTATGTAAACTTCCGACTTCAACTGTATACAGTGGGGAAAAAAGTATTTAGTCAGCCACCAATTGTGCAAGTTCTCCCACTTAAAAAGATGAGAGAGGCCTGTAATTTTCATCATAGGTACACGTCAACTATGACAGACAAATTGAGAAAAGAAAATCCAGAAAATCACATTGTAGGATTTTTAATGAATTTATTTGCAAATTATGGTGGAAAATAAGTATTTGGTCACCTACAAACAAGCAAGATTTCTGGCTCTCACAGACCTGTAACTTCTTCTTTAAGAGGCTCCTCTGTCCTCCACTCGTTACCTGTATTAATGGCACCTGTTTGAACTTGTTATCAGTATAAAAGACACCTGTCCACAACCTCAAACAGTCACACTCCAAACTCCACTATGGCCAAGACCAAAGAGCTGTCAAAGGACACCAGAAACAAAATTGTAGACCTGCACCAGGCTGGGAAGACTGAATCTGCAATAGGTAAGCAGCTTGGTTTGAATAAATCAACTGTGGGAGCAATTATTAGGAAATGGAAGACATACAAGACCACTGATAATCTCCCTCGATCTGGGGCTCCACGCAAGATCTCACCCCGTGGGGTCAAAATGATCACAAGAACGGTGAGCAAAAATCCCAGAACCACACGGGGGGGCCTAGTGAATGACCTGCAGAGAGCTGGGACCAAAGTAACAAAGCCTACCATCAGTAACACACTACGCCGCCAGGGACTCAAATCCTGCAGTGCCAGACGTGTCCCCCTGCTTAAGCCAGTACATGTCCAGGCCCGTCTGAAGTTTGCTAGAGTGCATTTGGATGATCCAGAAGAGGATTGGGAGAATGTCATATGGTCAGATGAAACCAAAATAGAACTTTTTGGTAAAAACTCAACTCGTCGTGTTTGGAGGACAAAGAATGCTGAGTTGCATCCAAAGAACACCATACCTACTGTGAAGCATGGGGGTGGAAACATCATGCTTTGGGGCTGTTTTTCTGCAAAGGGACCAGGACGACTGATCCGTGTAAAGGAAAGAATGAATGGGGCCATGTATCGTGAGATTTTGAGTGAAAACCTCCTTCCATCAGCAAGGGCATTGAAGATGAAACGTGTCTGGGTCTTTCAGCATGACAATGATCCCAAACACACCGCCCGGGCAACGAAGGAGTGGCTTCGTAAGAAGCATTTCAAGGTCCTGGAGTGGCCTAGCCAGTCTCCAGATCTCAACCCCATAGAAAATCTTTGGAGGGAGTTGAAAGTCCGTGTTGCCCAGCGACAGCCCCAAAACATCACTGCTCTAGAGGAGATCTGCATGAAGGAATGGGCCAAAATACCAGCAACAGTGTGTGAAAACCTTGTGAAGACTTACAGAAAACGTTTGACCTGTGTCATTGCCAACAAAGGGTATATAACAAAGTATGGAGAAACTTTTGTTATTGACCAAATACTTATTTTCCACCATAATTTGTATATATATATATATATACACACACACACACACACACACACACACACACACACACACACACTACCGGTCAAAAGTTTTAGAACACCTACTCATTCAAGGGTTTTTCTTTATTTAAAAAATGTTCTACATTGTAGAATAATAGTGAAGACATTAAAATTATGAAATAACACATATGGAATCATGTAGTAACCAAAAAAGTGTTAAACAAATCAAAATATATTTTATATTTGAGATTCTTCAAATAGCTACCCTTTGCCTTGATGACAGCTTTGCACACTTCTAATCACAGCATCAGTAGTGGAGTCTCTCATTAAGATCAAGGAGATGTGGTGATGAGATTTAAAACAAAATATGGAGGGTGAGGAACTTCCACCTAAGACTCATATTAGTCAAATTCTCATTTCTTTACTTGGGGCTCAAATGTATTTTAATTATTGTAGATCTGAACATAGACAGTAGGAAGTACCAGTAACACACTCAATATGGAAGTGGTCCGATGAAGTGGATGCTAAGCTACAGGACTGTTTCGCTAGCACAGACTGGAATATGTTCAGAGATTCATCCGATGGCATTGAGGAGTTTACCACATCAGTCACCGGCTTCATTAATAAGTGCATCGACGACGTGGTCCCCACAGTGACCGTGCGTTCATACCCCAACCAGAAGCCATGGATTATAGGCAACATCCGCACTGAGCTAAAGGCTAGAGCTGCTTCTTTCAAGGAGTGGAACATTAATCTGGATGCTTATAAGAAATCCCGCTACGCCCCCCAACAAACAATCAAACAAATAACGCAAAGCGTCAATAGAGGACAAAGATGGAAATCCTGCTACACCTGCTCTGATGCTCGTTGGATGTGGCAGGGCATGCAAACCATCACAGTTTACAAAGGAAAGTTCAGCCGCGAGCTGCCCAGTGACGCAAGCCTACCAGACAAGCTAAATTCCTTCTGTGCTCACTTCGAGGCAAGCATCACTGAACCATGCATGAGAGCAACAGCTGTTCCGGACGACTGTGTGCGTAAGACCTTTAAACAGGTTAACATTCACAAAGCCGCAGGGCCAGACGGATTACCAAGTCTCTTCACTGACATTTTCAACCTCTCTCTGACCCAGTCTGTAATACCTTCATGTTTCAAACAGGCCACCACAGTCCCTGTGCTCAAGATTGCCAAGTTAACCTGTCTAAATGACTATTGCACTGTAGCACTCACATCTGTAGCCATGAAATGCTTTGAAAGGCTGGACATGGCTCACATCAACACCATCATCCTAAACACCCTGGACCCACTCCAATTCGCATACCGCCCCAACAGATCCACAGATGACGCAATCTCTTATTGCACTCAACACTGCCCTTTCCCACCTGGACAAAAAGAAAACCTACGTGAGAATACTGTTCAATGACTTCAGTTCAGCGTTCAACACCATAGTGCCCTCCAAGCTCATCACTAAGCTAAGGACACTGGGACTGAACATCTCCCTCTGCAACTGGATCCTGGACTTCCTGACGGGCCACCCCCAGGTGGTGAGGGTAGGCAACAACACATCCACCACACTGATCCTCAACATGGGGGCGCCTCAGGGGTGAGTGCTTAGTCTCCTCCTGTACTCCCTGTTCACCCTCGACTGCATGGCCACGCACGATTCCAACACCATCATTAAGCTTGCCAACGACACGATGGTGGTAGGCCCAATCACAGACGATGATGAAACAGCCTATAGGGACGAGGTTAGAGACAACAACCTCTCCCTCAACGCCAGCAAGACAAAGGAGCTGATCGTGGACTACAGGAAACAGAGGGCCGAGCACGCCCCCATTCACATCAACAGGGCTGTAGTGGAGCGGGTCGAGAGCTTAAAGTTCCTCGCTGTGCACATCACTAAGGACCTATCATGGTCCAAATACACCAACACAGTCGTGAAGAGGGGGTGAAAAGATTTGGCATGGATCCTCAGACCCTCAAAAAGTTCTACAGCTGCACCACTGAGAGCATCTTGGCTGCATCACCGCTTGGTATGGCAACTGCTTGGCATCCGACCATAACATGCAGACTACACCGGGCGCGCGCACGCATGCGTCTGCGTGTGCCATCACGCGCATGTTGATTTTGTCCACCCACACCAGACGCGATCAGGAAACACAGGTTGAAATATCAAAACGAACTCTGAACCAATTATAATAATTTTGGGACAGGTCAAAAAGCATTAAAATATTTATGCCAATTTAGCTAGCTAGCTAATTTGTCCTGGGATATAAACATTGGGTTGTTATTTTACCTGAAATGCACAAGGTGTTCTACGACAATTAATCCACAGATAAAAGGGTTGTTTGTTTCTAGCAATCTCTCCTCCTTCAGGCTTCTTCTTCTTCTTTGGACTTTAAATGGCGGTTGGCAACCAACTTTACGGTGCATTACCACCCCCAACTGGACTGGAGTGTGGACCTCAGTTAATCTTTCAATCACCCACGTGGGTATATGCTCCTACAAACCAATGAGGAGATGGGAGGGGCGGGACTTGCAGCGCGTTGAGCGTCACAAAAATAACCAAATTCTATTTTAGAGCCTGGCTACGCAGACGCTTGTTGACGCGCGCGAGCAGTGTGAATGCAATGATTGAATAACATGTGTAAATTAATTTTGTAACGCTCGCGCACATAACGCGAGCGGTGTGGTCAGCATGTAAGGCGCAACAGAGGGTAGTGTGTACAGCCCAGTACATCAGTGGGGCCGAGCACCCTGCCATTCAGGACCTATATATCAGGTGGTCAGAGGAAAACCCTAAAAATTGTTAAAATCTCCAGACACCCAAGTCATAGACTGTTCTCTCTGCTACCGCAAGGCACGTGGTCCCGGAGAGCCAAGTCTGGGACCAAAAGGCTCCTGAACAGCTTCTACCCCCAAGCCATAAGACTGCTAAATAGGTAATCAAATGTCTACCCGGATTATTTGCATTAAACCCTGTTTTTTTGCACTAACTCTCTTGCAATGGCTCTATGCACTCAAAGGACTCTACCCACACGTACTACACTGACACTCCAACACACACATAAACTACATACACTCACACACACACACGCATGCATATTGACGCAGACACACTTTCACACTCTTCACATACGCTGCTGCTACTCTGTTTATTATCTATCCTGATTGCCTAGTCACTTTTACCCCTACCTACATGTGCATATTACCTCAATTACCTCGTACCCCTGCACATTGACTTGGTACCGGTTCTCCTTGTATATAGTCTTGTTTTGTTATTTTATTGTGTTTCTATTTCTTTTTTTTATTTAGCATATGTTTCTTCCTTTTTAACTGTGCATTGTTGGGAAAGGGCTCGTAAGTAAGCATTTCACTGTAAAGTCTACACCTGTTGATGTGACTTGAGGATGAATGTGGGGTTTAAACATAGACTGATGAGGCCTGCTTACTTGGCAGTGAGAGAGTTGACGACAGACTTCCTCTCGTTCAGGGCCTCCTGTAGCTGACCCACATGGATAGATGTGGTCCTGGAGGAGAAGGAAACACAGGGTCATTAATATGTACAGTGCCTTCAGAAAGTATTCATACCCCTTGACTTATTCCACATTTTGTTGTGTTACAGCCTGAATTCAAAATGGATTAAATATATCTACACACAATACCCCATAATGACAAAGTGAAAACACGTTTTTAGAAATGTTTGCAAATGTATTGCAAATAAAATAAAGAACTCTCTCTCATTTACATAAGTATTCAACCCATGAGTCAACACATGTTAGAATCACATTTGGCAGTGATTACAGCTGTGAGTCTTTCTGGGTAAGTCTCTAAGAGCTTTGCACACCTGGATTGTACAATATGAACATTATTATTATTTTAATTATTCAAGCTCTGTCAAGTTGGTTGTTGATCATTGCTAGACAATCATTTTCAAGTCTTGCAATTGATTTTCAAGCCGATTTAAGTCAAAACTGTAACTAGGCCACTCAGGAATATTCAATGTCATCTTGGTAAGCAACTACAGTGTATATTTGGCTTTGTATTTTAGGTTATTGTCCTGCTGAAAGGTGAATGTCTCCCAGTGTCTGTTGGAAAGCAAACTGAACCAGGTTTTCCTCTACGGTTTTGCCTGTGCTTAGCTCTATTCCATTTATTTTTTATCCAAAAAACTCCCTAGTCCTTGCCAATGACAATCATTCCCATAACATGATGCACCCACCACCATGCTTGAAAATATGAAGAGTGGTACTCAATGATGTGTTGTGTTCGCCCCAAACATAACTCTTTGCATTCATGATATACATTTCATTTCTTTGCCAAGTTTTTTGCAGTTTTACTTTAGTGCCTTATTGCAAACAGGATGCATGTTTTGGAATATTTGTATTCTGTACAGGCTTCTTTCTTTTTACTCTGTCATTTAGGTTAGTATTGTGGAGTAACTACAATGTTGTATCTTTGTAGTGACTGGGTTTATTGATACACCTTCCAAAGTGTAATTAATAACTTCCACATGCTCAAAGGGATATTTAATGTCTGCTTTAAAAAAGATATACACTACCGTTCAAAAGTTTGGGGTCAATTAGAAATGTCCTTGTTTTCGAAAGAAAAGCACATTTTTTGTCCATTAAAATAACATCAAATTGATCAGAAATACAGTTTAGACATTGTTAATGTTGTAAATGGCTATTGTAGCTGGAAACGGCTGATTTGTTATGGAATATCTACATAGGCGTACAGAGGCCCATTATCAGCAACCAGTCTCATCATCAACAGTGAAGAGGCGACTCCGGAATGCTGACCTTCTAGGCAGAGTTGCAAAGAAAAAGTCCAGTGTCTGTGTTCTTTTGCCCATCTTAATATTTTATTTTTATTGGCCAGTCTGAGATATGGCTTTTTATTTGCAACTCTGCCTAGAAGGTCAGCATCCCGGAGTCGCCTCATCACTGTTGACGTTAAGACTGGTGTTTTGCGGGTACTATTTAATGAAGCTGCCAGTTGAGGACCTGTGAGGCGTCTGTTTCTCAAACTAGACACTCTAATGTATTTTGCACAGTTGTGCACCGGGGCCTCCCACTCCTCTTTCTATTCTGGTTAGAGCCAGTTTGCGCTGTTCTGTGAAGGGAGAAGTATACAGCGTTGTACGAGATCTTCAGTCTCTTGGAAATTTCTCGCATGGAATAGCCTTCATTTCTCAGAACAAGAATAGACTGACGAGTTTCAGAAGAAAGTTCTTTGTTCTGGCCATTTTGAGCCTGTAATCGAACCCACAATTGCTGATGCTCCAGATATTCAACTAGTCTCAAGAAGGTTTGATTGCTTCTTTAATCAGCACAACAGTTTTCAGCTGTGCTAACATAATTGCAAAAGGGTTTTCTAATGATCAATTAGCCTTTTAAAATGATAAACTTGGATTAGTAAACACAACGTGCCATTGGAACACAGGACTGATGGTTGCTGATAATGGGCCTCTGTACGCCTATGTAGATATTCCATTAAAAATCAGTCGTTTCCAGCTACAATATCCATTTACAATATTAACAATGTCTACACTGTATTTCTGATCAATTTGATGTTATTTTAATGGACAAAAAATTTGCTTTTCTTTCGAAAACAAGGACATTTCTAAGTGACCCCACTGACAAAGAAATTATCAGTCTATAATTTTAATGGTAGGTTTATTTGAACAGTGAGAGACAGAATAATAACAAACAAATCCAGAAAAACGCATGTCAAAAATGTTATAAATTGATTTGCATTTTAATGAGGGAAATAAGTATTTGACACCCTCTCAATCAGAAAGATTTCTGGCTACCAGGTGTCTTTTATACAGGTAACGAGCTGAGATTAGGAGCACACTCTTAAAGGGAGTGCTCCTAATCTCAGCTTGTTACCTGTATAAAAGACACCTGTCCACAGAAGCAATCAATCAATCAGATTCCAAACTCTCCACCATGGCCAAGACCAAAGAGCTCTCCAATGATGTCAGGGACAAGATTGTAGACCTACACAAGGCTGGAATGGGCTACAAGACCATCGCCAAGCAGCGTGGTGAGAAGGTGACAACAGTTGGTGCGATTATTCGCAAATGGAAGAAACACAAAATAACTGTCAATCTCCCTCGGCCTGGGGCTCCCTGCAATATCTCACCTCGTTGCAATGATCATGAGAACGGTGAGGAATCAGCCCAGAACTACACGGGAGGATCTTGTCAATGATCTCAAGGCAGCTGGGACCATAGTCACCAAGAAAACAATTGGTAACACACTACGCCGTAAAACTCTGAAATCCTGCAGCGCCCGCAAGGTCCCCCTGCTCAAGAAAGCACCTATATAGGCCCGTCTGAGGTTTGCCAATGAACATCTGAATGATTCAGAGGAGAACTGGGTGAAAGTGTTGTTGTCAGATGAGACCAAAATCGAGCTCTTTGGCATCAATTCAACTCGCCGTGTTTGGAGGAGGAGGAATGCTGCCTATGACCCCAAGAACACCTTTGTGGTTGAATTTGTGTTTGAAATTCACTGCTCGACAGAGAGACCTTACAGATAATTGTATGTGTGGGGTACAGAGATAAGGCTGTCATTCAAAAATCATGTTAAACACTATTATTGCAAAGTCCATGCAACTTATTATGTGACTTGTTAAGTACATTTTTACTCCTGAACTTATTTAGAGTTGCCATAACAAATGGGTTGAATACTTATTGACTCAAGACATTTCAACTTTTCATGTTCAATTAATTGGTAACATTTCTAAAAACATAATAATGAGGTATTGTGTGTAGGCCAGTGACACAAAATCTCAATTTAATCCATTTCAAATTATGTCTGTAACACAACAAAATGTGGAAAAATTAAAGGGGTGTGAATACTTTCTGAAGGCACTGTATGTCTATATATTTTATGTATAAAGTCCATATCAATATACAGTGCATTCGGAAAGTATTCAGACCCCTTACCTTTTTCCACATTTTGTTACGTTACAGCCTTATTCTAAAATGGATAAAATAAAATAAAATCCTCATCAATCTACACACAATACCCCATAATGACAAAGCGAAAACAGGTTATTAGAAATGTTGGCAAATGTATTACAAATAAAAAACAGAAATACGTTACTTACATAAGTACTCAGACCCTTTGCTATGAGACTCGAAATTGAACTCAGGTGCATCCTGTTTCCTGTGGCCCCCATCATTCTTAAATGGAAGAAGTTTGGAACCACCAAGACGCTTCCTAGAGCTGGCCGCCTGGCCAAACTGAGCAATCGGGGGAGAAGGGCCTTGGTCAGGGAGGTGACCAAGAACCCGATGGTCACTCTGACAGAGCTCCAGATTTCCTCTGTGGAGATGGGAGGACCTTCCAGAAGGACAACCATCTCTGCAGCACTCCACCAATCAGGCCTTTATGGTAGTGTGGCTAGACGGAAGCCCCTCCTCAGTAAAAGGCACATGACAGCCCGCTTGGAGTTTGCCAAAAGGCACCTAAAGGACTCTCACACCATGAGAAACAAGACTCTCTGGTCTAATGAAACCAAAATTGAACTCTTTGGCCTGAATGCCAAGCGTCATGTCTGGAGGAAACCTGGCACCATCCCTACGGTGAAGCATGGTGGTGGCAGCATCATGCTGTGAGGATGTTTTTCAGTGGCAGGGAGACTAGTCAGGAACGAGGGAAAGATGAACGGAACAAAGTACAAGAGATCCTTGATGAAAACCTGCTCCAGAGCACTCAGGACCTCAGACTGGGGCGAAGGTTCACCTACCAACAGGACAACGACCCTAAGAACACAGCCAAGACAACGCAGGAGTGGCTTCAGGACAAGTCTCTGAATGTCCTTGAGTGGCCCAGCCAGAGCCCGGACTTGAACCCGATCGAACATCTCTAGAGAGACCTGAAAATAGCTGTGCAGCGACGCTCCCCATCCAACCTGACAGAGCTTGAGAGGATTTGCAAAGAAGAATGGGAGAAACTGACCAAATACAGGTATGCCAAGCTTGTAGCGTCATACCTAAGAAGACCCAAGGCTGTAATCGCTGCCAAAGGTGCTTCAACAAAGTACTGAATAAAGTGTCTGAATACTTATGTAAACGTAATATTTAAGTTTAATTTTTTTATACATTTTCAAAAATGTTTTTGCTTCGTCATTATGCGGTATTGTGTGTAGATTGATGAGAAACATGTATAATTTAATCAATTTTAGAATAAGGATGTAACGTAACAAAATGTGGAAAAATGTTAAGCATCTAAATACTTTCCGAATGCACTGTAGCTACATGACTTATGTTAGCCTGGGTGCCAATCTGTTTCTGCTTTTAAGCCAAGTTGTCATTGTCTAGCCAGACAAGTCCTGTTGGCAACACAATAATGTTGCTATTGTTTTGTTATTATTGTTGATGCAGAAACAGTCAAGGCTAGTCTTCTGTCATCCAGATTCTTATATTGTACCACTCACGCTGACCTGGTGCTTCGGCCCATCTCGTCTCTCTGTTTATCTATGGTCTCCATCAGATTCAGGAACTAAAGGGCGAGAGAAGGGAAAGGCAACATAAATAGCTTACATACAGGGCTTCTTGTTCATCTGCACACACATTTCTAAACATAAAAAAGTAAATAATAAACCAAGATACAGTATATTATGTGCAGTGCTATTCCCTTGTCTTGTCTATTCACTTGTCCCTCCCCTTCTTTTTCTACTAGGAGGAGAACTCCATTTCCCAGCAGCCCCCATACCTGCCGTCCCTTCTCCTCCTTGAGGATCTGGATCTCCTTGCTGAGGACTTGGGTTCTGCTGCGGCTCTCTCTCATAGTGGACTGCCTGTCCGAGTTATGATCCATTGCCTGCTCTGGAGGGGGGAGACCATAGGTGGGAGGTGGTTACTTTAATCAAAAACATTACAATAACAGACGTTCAGCAGCACACAAGCTTAGACAGACTGACTGACACTGAGACAGACAAACACACACACACACACACACACACACACACACACACACAGCTTACCGAGGGCTTTTAGTGTGTCGCTGGGGATGTTGTTTCCAGCCATCTCCAGGTGTGTCAGGGTCCTGTTCTGCTGTAGAGCCTCTAGGAAGGACCGGCCACCCAGCAGACCAATGTTGTTCCACCTCACATCTATACAACCTCAACACAGACACCAGACCAGAGAGAGAACCATGACACCTTTGCTGTCTAGGCTTCAAATGGTACATTATTCATGGACACAGTCCCCCCAAAAAATCTAGCTCCAGCCTGTATCCTAGCCCCAAAGATGTGATATTTTTGGTTCTGAAGGTATTGGATCGGTGTAAGTAATATGGTGATGACCTTGCTTTCTCATGGGCTCTGGGGAGCATATTGCTTAAACCTATCTGGTTCTTTCAGTTGTGAAGACAGTGACACCGAAGGTGTAGGGGCTAGGAGAAGAGCTTCTGGGTTGTTCTCAGACAAGGCTTTGGTCTACTCTACAGGGATGTAACGATTCACAATACCATCCGTCCCGGTTTAAACGTTTAAGATGAGTGCATCGGTCCGCTGGACCCCAAACTGATCGAAATGTAGCATGCATCGGTCAGGAAATCGATTCAAACATTACGAATCGCCAGTTCACTCATTTTCTTTGCTCTAATTACTTTCTTTCTACCTTCCGAAAATGCCTTTAATCTTTTATGACAACTGCATCCTCTTTTTCAGTGTCGAACTAAGCATGTCTTTGTTAACAGTCTTTGATCTACAAGTCATTTTGCATGCCGAACAACCCCAGGCTATATCAGTAGCCGAGTCAAACTACGCGCTCATTTCAGTTGATGTGACAAAACAAGCAGTCATTGTGTAGAGAATCATTGACCATATAAACCGCTGTGTTTCCATAACCAAAAATATTGTATTTTCAGCTGGTGTACAAAACCAAAAGACGCAAAAATGAAACTTAAGAACGGGAAGCATAGAAATAGTGCACATACAACCGATCTACGGCTTCTTAGACTTGCTTTCAACGAGAATGACAGATCTGAGTATACAAAACATTAAGAACACCTGCTCTTTCCATGACATAGACTGACCAGGTGAATCCAGGTGAAAGCTATGATCCCTTATTGATGTCACTTGCTAAATCCACATAAATGTGTAGATGAAGGGGAGGAGACAGGTTAAAGAAGGATTTTTAAGCCTTTAGACAATTGAGATATGGATTGTGTATGTGTGTCATTCAGACAGTGAACGGGCAAGACAAAACATTTAAGTGCCTTTGAACGGGGTATGGTAGTAGATGCCAGGCGCACTGGTTTGTGTCAAGAACTGCAATGATGTGTGTGTGTGTGTGTGTGTGTGTGTGTGTGTGTGTGTGTGTGTGGGGGGGGGGGGGGGTTTGATGCCCAGTTTCCCTTACGGCTCAGTTCTGTTTCCTACATACACCATAGACATATACAGTACATCATTTACACACACACACAGAAGCCAGCTAAGGCAGATCCAGCTCAGAGGCTCAGCTTATGAGCTCCATCAGCAGCTGATTTTAATGTAGAATGGAAAATGAATGTGTTTATGCAAATGTTAGTACATCGAATCGTATCCCATTGAACCGAATCGCATCGATTCGTTCCTCTAATCAAATTGCATCGCTTCAAACTAAAACGTATCGTTCCTGTATCGGTGCCCATGTATATAGATACATAATGAATAGTCTTGAAAAGGAAAGATGCACATCCCTACTACTCTAGTTGAATCTTGAATCTAGTGATCTTGGCTGTATTGAGTCATTTCCCATGCGAGGCGCTCCTTTGTGAAGTTTTCCCTAGGTACAGATCTAGGATCAGCTTCCCTCCCCCAATCCTAAACGTAACCATTTGTGGGGGAAATGCAAAACTGACCCAAGATCAGCATCTAAAGGTAACTTCACCCTAAACATGCAAACCCACTGACCCAATTGCTGCAGGGTGCTGTTCCGCTTGAGGGCCAGGCAGAGTTCTGAGGCCCCCTGGTGGTTGATCTGGTTGTTCCGCAGGTCCAGCTGGGTTAGACAGGCGTTGGAGGCCAAACCCTCACAGAACACTGAGAACGCCTCGTCCCACATCCCCAACGCATTCCACTCCAACACCAGCCTGTGTCCAACACAACAACATTAACTTGGGTTATGGTTCCCTTTGCAATGCAGTATCGTTGTGTATGCACAACTCATGCTGCTCACAGAAGAAAATATAGGGATTATAATTTAAATAATCTTAACATACCTGAATGCTTAACTACATTTCATAGACATTTCACCCTAAAAGTTTTCATTGAATGATCTAGCTTGCTACTAGCTCACTGACCAACTCACCTGCACAGTGTCTTGTTTCTCACCAACAGCTTCCCTAAAGCCTCAGCTCCTGTTGATCTCAAGTTATTTCCCTGAGAACAAATACAAAACATATGATCGACATCAAATTTAAATGTGTCAAGTCAGGCTGGCCACCCCAACTCAGACTGGTCAAGTGGTCTGCAGTGTGTAGAGGCCTCTGATAGTCCTTACCTTCAGATCCAGGACTTTAACAGTAGTGTTGGCACACAGCCCATTCAGTAGCAGCTTGGCACCTGGACATGACAAAGACAAGTGGCAGTCAGGAGCATGTGTTATCAAAGAGTTGCTATAAAAGAGTTGCTATAAAATAGTGATCTAAGCATTATAACAATGTAACTAAACAGCAGCAACAAAGCAAACAGTTATAGCTATATCATCTCTGTACAGCAGTAGCAAAAGCCCTACAGGATTCATAGTACATTCATGGCTCCAATATATACAGTATCACACAGTCAGCACAGTAACAAAAATACAGAAAGATTACCTCCAACAAACACATACCTTCCTCGGTGAGCATGCAGTCACTGAGGGCCAGCTCGGTGAAGAGTGTGTCTTTGTGGAAGACCCTCCCCAGCACGGCACAGGTGTCTACAGACAGGCTGTGTCCCCGCAGGTCCAGCCTGGATCCTGCTGCGGCTCCCCTGGTCTCCTGGAGCTGAGCTAGTACTGACTCCTGGGGCTCCACGCCCCCCTCCTTACACAGACGCAGGTAGGTCCGTCTGAAATCCTCCATACTGGGCCTTACACTGTCTCAGAGCTGTTTGGATTCCTTTTGAGCTCCTCTGTCGTTTGTTACTAGTAATCTTCTTCTCCCTTTCAGTCCCGCTCCAGGTGTGCTGTGCTGCTTCAATCCCTCATCTGCCCACTCACTCCTTCTTTTCCTCTTCAGTTTTTCTTTGTTCCTTCCCGGACCCTCTGATCCTCCCCTGCACTGTGCTGTCGCCCTGGCCTGATGGAGCTGTGGGGTGAATTGGGAGACGTGAGGAAACACAGCTCAGCCTATGTCTGTCTGAAATACAAATTAATTACACCTCAACCTTCTTAGGCTCTTTACTTGCTCTCTCTCTCTCTCTGGGGTTTGTATCTCTAAAGAAAATCAGCTCAAGAGCTTTGTAAGATGGCCATTTACTACATTTATGAGTAACTGGAGCTGAATGCAGGGAAACCCCATCATGGCTACAATAATCAACATTGCATAAATTACAGCAAGAACTATGATTAACAAGCTAGCAGCTGGTGCAGAATTGTTAAAGCCTACTTTTGACCACTACATCAATTAGGCTGCATTCAGAGCTAAAAGTGACATCAGGCAGGCAGAAATCATCTCTTTCAGTGATTTTGGCAGACAATGCATGGCTGAAGAAGATGAAGCATGCCAGTCCACTTCCCAATTAGTGATGATGGCCCTTGAGCAACTGCCACTGACACCATTGCTGATTTCTCTAGCTATCTAGCTATTTCCCTAACTACATAGCTTTTTAAATAGTAAAACTAAGGTTGCAGCACACAGTGGTTCACTGTCTAGTTGGTTAACCAAACCATAGTTGATTTAAAAAAACAAATTGTTGGATAAGCGGTAACCCACCTTATTGTTGTTGTTGACAAATTAGTTTATCCATGACTGACAGGCTAGCTGTTACAGTAGTACAGTAACGTTAGCTAATCTGTTAACATGAGTAGTGGCTAATAGACTACGTTAACTGACACTGTTTCTATTAGTAAACAATGAGATTAACGTTAGCTAGCTAGCTACACTACTGTAGCTACTGTCAGCTTGTTTAGCTAGCTAGCTAACGTTACCTGCTTACTTTCCTGCAATATCTTTCTTCCTAGCTTTAAAAAAACAAAAGTCTAGAGAAGAAAAGAGAGGAATTTACACTACAAAAGTCGAGAGAAGAAAATAGAGGAGTTTACACTGTAGATCACATCGCTATAAGGTTTTTGCAACGATCAAACCTTGTTAGTTGTTGTTGACTGGTGCAAGTTTTCAAGTGACAGTTGAGTTAGCACGAAGGTAACCAGGAAGTGGGATTCACGTCGGACTGATATGTACGTCAGCGCAGTGCATGTTGCTAAGTGTAGTTGTGAGGAGCGCGCGAGGGACGAGTCTTGGCGCTGCGTTTTGAACATTAAAACCCTGTCTGTGCTTGCCTTTCAACATGTTTTCTAACGCCATGACTCGTTTTGTTCAACATCTGTAAACTGAAAGTAATGTTAATGGCGGCAGGTAGCCTAGCAGTTAGTGCAGAGAGACAGCAACCGGAGGGTTGCCAGTTGGAGGGAAGTTAGCTGGCAACCGGAGAGCTGCTGGTATCAAAATCCTAAATGCCGTTGCCTGCTGTTGTGCCCATTGAGCAAGGCACTTAACACCCACAACAACAGCGCCTCTCCAAAAATAATGAATGGGTGATTTTGCAAATACAATACTTTTTGTGTCTCAGGGTTAAGATAAAATGTTTATTTAGATTTTTCCCCACCACATCCATTAAGTAGAGACCAAAATAACCTTAAACTTTTTGTTCAGTTTTCAATATATTTTTTTATTTTACTTTCTAAAGCATTTCATGTCTGGATTTCACTGTTTTGCACTGTTTTTGTTCTGTCTCACACCCAGACTTTTGACCTTCTGCAATGTATTATACTTACAAAAGTCAGGAAAATGTGAAAATATTTAATGCACCTGTAAAAAAAAAAAAAAAAAAAAATTTTTTTTAAAAAGAGTCAAATAAATGGAAACTATATACATATTAGATGTGCATAAGCCATTTGTAACTTTTTGTTACACCAAATACAGTCGTCTCTAAGTATTGTGTCATTACCACCATGACAAGCAAATTACATGATAATAATGTTTTTTCAAAAGTTTGTGTACTTGGTTACCATGGATATGAATAGTGACAGTGGAGAACATGGATCTCATGGAGGGACATTCAAATTTTGAAGCCGGGAAATGATAGAAAAATAAAGGTAAATATGACTTGAGAATATTTTTTTATTATGTTAGATTTTTTAAAATTTGTTTTCATTATGTGTATTTAGGATACATTGTATGCTAGCAGTTCAACTGGAGTTAGCATGCTAGAATCCCTGCTATTTATCACCAAATATTGTAAAAATGTCATTCCCACCACACGTCATTACCACCACATAATGAACTGTGATGGTAAGGACAGTATTGTGGTGGTAATGACAAAATGTATTAGTTCATACATTTTTACTTACCTTAAGACCAGAAAAGACACACAAATTATATATTTGATCAAGGTTAAGTTGAAATTGAACACTTATTTGCTAAATAAGACCATTACATTTTGTATTATGTTAAGATGATTGAGTGATTTTGATGTCTATTTATGTGACTTACTATGGTTACTGACTTAAATTATAAATGTTTTATTTTTCTATAAGATGCCCCCTAAATCAACCAAGGAGAGGACAAGGACATACACTATGTATGCAAAAGTATGTGGACACCCCTTCAAATTAGTGGATTCGGCTATTTCAGCAACACCCGTTGCTGAAAGGAGCATAAAATCGAGCACACAGCCATGCAATCTCCATATTCAAACATTGGCAGTAGAATGGCCCGTACTGAAGAGCTCAGTGACTTTCAACTGGCACCGTCATAGGATGCTAGTCAAATTTCTGCCCTGCTAGAGCTGCCCTGGTCAACTGTAAGTGTTGTTGTTATGAAGTGGAAACGTCTAGGAGCAACAACGGCTCTGCTGCCAAGTGGTAGGCCACACAAGCTCACAGAACGGGACCACCGAGTGGTGAAGCGCGTAAAAATCGTCTGTCTTCGGTTGCAACACTCACTACCGAGTTCCAAACTGCCTCTGGAAGCAACGTCAGCACAATAACTGTTAGTTGGGAGCTTCATGAAATGGATTTCCATGGCCGAGCAGCAGTATAAGATCACCATGCGCAATGCCAAGTGTCTGCTGGAGTAGTGTAAAGCTAGCTGCCATTGGACTCTGGAATGTTCTCCGGAGTGATGAATTACGCTTCACCATCTGGCAGTCCGGCGGACGAATCTGGGTTTGGCGGATGCCATGAGAACGCTACCTGCCTGAATGCATAGTGCCAACTGTAAAGTTTGATGGAGGAGGAATAATGGTCTGGAGCTGTTTTTCATGGCCCCTTAGTTCCAGTGAAGGGAAACCTTAACGCTACAGCAGACAATGACAATGATTCTTTGCTTCCAACTTTGTGGCAACAGTTTGGGGAAGGCCCTTTCCTGTTTCAGCACAAAGCGAGGTCCATACAGAAATGGTTTGTCGAGATCGGTGTGGAAGAACTTGACTGGCCTGCACAGAGCCCTGACGTCAACCCCATCGAACACCTTTGGGATTAATTGGATCGCAGACTGCGAGCCAGGCCTAATCGCCCAACATCAGTGCCCGACATCACTAATGCTCTTGTGGCTGAATGGAGGCAAGTCCCAGCAGCAATGTTCCAACATCCAGTGAAAGCCTTCCCAGAAGAGTGGAGGCTGTTATAATAGCAAAGGGGGAACCAACTCCATATTAATTGCCATGATTTTGGAATGATATGTTCGACGAGCAGGTGTCCACATACTTTTGGTCATGTAGTGTATATAAACAAAATCAAACAAGATCCTATAAGATACCAGGAGTATCTTAAGAAACAAAAAGGAAGATACCTCGAGAGAAAATAAAGTGGTGAACTGAAATCCAGCTCACAACTTTCCCAGTGAGAAAAAAAGAAAAAAAAGGAGGACATAGACAATAAACCAAAGAAACAGAAGATCAACTTTCCAGAAAATAGGGGTTATGGAGTCATACCTGTCAAGGAACACACCACCACACTCACCTGAAGTCTTACAGCTACAGAATGATAACCTAACTGCCCCTCAAATGACCACACATATATGTGATTGTTTTGGCCCACAGACCGTGATAATTCAACAAACAGAGGCAGACAAAGCACAACCTTCCACTTCCACCTACACAGCACCACATTCATCTCCTAGCACAATACAGCCCATTGCAGACACACATGAAGGACTGATTGGAAAGTGGTGTGTTGTGAAATATGATGAAGACCCTTACCTTGGTATTATACAAGGTGTTAATGCAAAGAGCTGCACTCTAGTCAAGATGATGAGTTGTGTGGGAGCCAACCGATTATTTTGGCCAATGAGAGAGGACATTGTATGGTACCAACCAGAGAATGTGCTTGGGCTTGTCCCTGAGTCTCATCCAGTGACAAAACGGCATATGATGCTTGATGGCGCAGTCTGGGAGGAAATTTGCTCTCTCGTTCAGCAATAGAGTGCATTAAGGGCAAAACCTAATCTTGAGTGAGCACACACCTGTCTCATGAGTATGAATCAATAGACTGCAGCCAGTGAACAATAATTTGTTTAATGTCAACCAGTTTTTCCAACATTTACATTTACATTTTAGTCATTTAGCACGCTCTTATCCAACCTTGTATTTCTGCCTAATGCACTGAATCCCAAAATTGTTCTAAAAGCTGCTTAAGTTATTGAGGCATGTATCTCTTTTTTTTCAGGTTTTGAATGGTGTGTTCTATATCTTCAATCAAATTAAACATGTACAACTGTGACATTCAAATGTTTAATGGTATTTTTCATCAGTTGTTTTATATTAAATGTCATTTCCACCACACTCTGTCATTACCATAACGCTAAGTCATTACCATCACGGTACATATTTTTGAGGAAAAGTTGTATTAAAATACAATTGATATTGATGATTTTTCCCATATGTGAACCTTATATGCTTGTTATTAAGATAATTCCTAAAATAATGTAAAATATTGAGATTTTGATGTGGTAAATACATGTTTCTGAGTATCATCAAGGCATATATGGACATTTAGACATGACAATGATGAATACATATAATTAAGAAAACTTCAAAATAGTAAAAGAAACATGATAATTTTTTTAAATGGTGAAATGTTATATAAAATACCTTAGGCACAATTTCCTTTTCAACTAAAATAGCAAATTTTATAATGTGGTGGTAATGATATTTCCCCTCGGGAATTTGGGGAAACTGATAAAAATATTTATATTCTTAAATAGTATGGTCTCAGCCACTATTAGCTCTTGTTTCCAGACAGAGTGAAGAAAATATTCAGATATATAAAAAGCAGTTTCAAGAGGTTTCATTTTCAATATCCAAAAGTGCCTGTATTTGCAAAATCAACCATATATGTATGTGTGTCTTTCGGAGGGGTTGGGTTAAAAGCGGAAGTCACATTTCGGTTGGACCTTGTGTGCAATTGACCTATAAAGTTATCTTAATCTTAATCTCTTCATCTTCAAACTAGCTAGCTACAGTATCAGCCAGCTGCAGACTGTTGGGCAAAAGCTAGCTAGCTAGCTCGCTGTGCCTGCTTGAATCACAAACATCTCGAAAGATCCAACTTTTGTCATCTCTTCTGATTAAGTGCTTCAGTTGTTCATCAGTCGATCAAAATCCTGAAAATAATAACACAGTGGCCTGTACTTTGATTTCAATTCAACCTTTAAAAGCTGAAGTGACGTTACAACCTTGTAAACAAATGCGGCAGCATGTTGGTGGAAGTTGTGTGTTACAGATTTATGCCCTCACTTCCCTGTGTTCCCTTGCTCAGTTTTCTCTGCTAGTTTCTTGATGTCAAGCAGTACGAGACAAAAGCACAGGTACTTGAGAAGTGTTCTCCCTGTTTCATTCTTGTTTTCAGTCATAGTTAGTATTTCATATTTTTGCTGTCAGCCTGTTTGTGGAGACCAATTTGCTCCTCCATTATTTTTCGTGATAAGTCCATTATTTTGTATCCTGGCTTTGGGACCACCAGTAAAGATCCTTGTTTCACGATCTTTGCCTTCTGCCTACTGTCTATCCTGCACCGCACCTGGGTCACACCTCACACCAACCCTTACACCAGAGTCTGTCCTGACCCCCTCTGTTTGAATCACACTCTCAGACAGAAACCTCTGCACACGCATGCACTCTTTCAGATTCTTTGAGCCAGTGA